AATTATTTTTTTAGTATAWTTAATAAATATATATTTTTTATATATAATAATTTTTATTAAACAGTATAAAACAGRTATGTTTTTATAAAATTATAAATACTTGAAATATTTTATTTTATTYTATATTTTTTCTTATTTTATTTTTAGTTTATTTTGACGTCAGTTTTAAATCATTGGTCACGAGTTACTTATAATGAAAAATTAGGATCAAGTTATACTTTAATAATGTTATTTAATTATGTATAATTTTTTTTAAGTATTTTTCTAATTTTTAAAAATTTATTATATTTMTCATAATATATTTGCATAAATGTATTTTTTTAATTATATATTTGTCCAAAATAAAATTCCTATAAATTAAAATAAAATAATACATTTGTCTTTTATTTATCAGACATTTATTATATATATTTAATGGCATTAGTCTATAACAATATATACATATATACATAAAAAATATAATGTTTGTCTCAATTTTTTAGTACAAATATCTTAAAATGTAATTACATATATTGCCCCTTTGAATGGAAATAATGACTTAAAATTAAATGACAAATGTCCTACCAAATAATACCGTTTTTTCCTGGGTCATTTGTCATTTAATTTTAAGACTGTCTACAAAAATCGAGACAAGTGTCTAAATTATTTTATATATTTATCTTGTATTTTAATATTTTTTTCCTCAGTGTAGTAGCAAAAAAGTTCAAAACACTTTTTTTTAAAAAACAGTATCCAAATGATGATGAATATCAAACAATTGAATGAATTTCCTGAATATACTATTGAACTCAACTGAGATCTACTAAAAAAAAAGTTTTGGGTATTAATGTACTGACAGTGGGAGTCATTTCAATAATATTAATGCACTTTTTACTATACAATAGATGCGGTCAAACACTTTGTCGCCAAAAAAAAGCGTTATCAATATTATCAACAAAAAATATGTGTTTTCTCTTTTTTTAAAAAAATATAGATAAAAAACATTGATAACCAGTAAAATCATTAGTATAGACAATCAGTTATTACTTGAATATCTCTTTTTTTTGATTGTATTTTATTTAGAGTTATGAATTTAATACTGATATTAATAATATATATATAAGTTTATTGTAAGAATGACAACATTTAAAGTTTATTTTATTTTTGAAACTAAAAAATCAAATGACTATTTCAACATTTAATTTGTTTAATTAAGTTTCCTTTTTTAAAGTTTATAAAATATTCAATATATATAATAGATTTATAATAATAATAATAGATTTTTGTGTGATTGTGTTAAAATATATTATTAATATGTTTACTATTGAACTGATAGAATCAGTCCTCCAAATCAAAAATCATATAATAAAATATATATATAAAATAAAAATAAGTTTTTTTTCAAAAATCAAGGTCAACAATCAATAAATGACATTTAAAAAAATACAGTATATGTTTATAATATAATGAAAGTTAATATTTATTTTATTTCATTTGTCTGTATTATTAAAATAATATAATAAATTGACTCAAACTTATGAAACTTTGGATTTCAACAAAAAAAAATCTTTTCTATTTCCTAATGAATCTTTTAAAATGTATTTAATTGGTTTATAACACGTATAGCAGTTTAGCAAATAATTTGTTGTATTATATATGGAAAAAATATAAAGAAAATAATTTTGATTAACGATTTTTTGATAATAAATTTGATAATAAAAAATTACTTTTAATTTACATTTACAAAAAGTTAGCATTAGTAATTTATTATATTTTTGTATAAATAGTTTACTCTTTAATTATTTAAAATTTATTTAAAAATGCTTTTACCAGTCTATCAGTACAGTATAATAAATAGTATTATTGTTATAATAAGATAAATGACAAACTTAAATAATAAGTTAAATTAACAAAAAAACACATTCAATGATTAAATAAAAAATATAAATATATATATATAAACAATTAAATGTTTTTTTTAATATACTTGTATACACACTATTATACAATAAAATGCTTATAAATCAATTTTAACAAAGATTTTTTTTTTTAAAAGTCAATTAATATTTAATTTTTTTTATAAATAAATTAATAGAATAGAAATACATTATATAATAATAATAATATAATTACAATAATTTTTTACAAAGATTATAAACACATTTCAAATGGTAGTCAATATGATAAACATATCATATAATTTTTGAAATGACATTTTAATAATAATAATACAAAAAAAAATTCTGATGTCTATGACAACCACACTATGAAAGATAAGAAAGACATTGTTATTATTATTATTATTATTTAATGTTAATAACGTATAATATTCATAATAATTATATATAACCGCAAAATTAACATTATTAGATAAAAAGTTAAATTAAATAAATATTTTTTAAAAACATAATTTATAATATATATATATTCAATATATATATAAAACATTATGCCTTTAAATAGTGACCAATCATTTTTGGTGGCAAAGTATATATTGATAACATTTACTGTACTCGAGCTGATCGCCACTTTTGTCGGCTACGGAGTAGTACTCAACCGGATCGACCACTTCCAAGAGGATGAACCCGACGACAGAGACTCATGGAAACGATGGAAGGGTGCAGTCATTGCCTATCTTATCATCGAAGATATCATTGCACTGATCGGACTGTTCGGTGCCATCAAAGAAAACTATCGGTTAACCCTAGCGTTTGGCATAATTATGACTGTCCTATGGTTTTTTAATTTCACAAATCGTGCCCTAATCTATACAAATGTTTTCAACTATTTGGTAACATTGGTGGTCATAGTGTCGGCCTTTTATCTGGCCAAACGAATCCGTCGTCGACAAGTGTCAACCTATATATCCAACAGTCCATCGGTTGATCCCTATTTTCCGTCACAGGTTACCAGTGTATCACAGGGAGGACCGGCAGTTATTCATGTATCTGAATCGTATATACCTAACGAAAACAATCCATACTATAATCACATGCAAATAACAAATCGTAATCCAATACCTGAGCCGACGGCAACACCGCCGCCCACTTACTCCAAAGCAACACAACCGAGGCTTGAGTTTAAATACTAAATTTAAATAAAGTATTAAAATATTATTATTATTATTATTGTATGTAAATTATTTTGATATAAAATTTAAGCATTTATTTTTTGAACAAAATAATTTTTTGAACAAAATAATTTTTTGAATACATTATACAGTATATTATAAAACAAATAATTGATTTTAAATATTAGTTATTAATTTTATTGCTTTTATGATAATTTTTGTTGCATTTTTAAAAATATAATTATTATTAACACATATTATTTATTTTAATAATAATAATAAAAACTAATATCTATTGTTAAAGTTAATTTTAATTAATTAATATTTTTTTATAATTAATTTAGTAAGTAAATCATAATATTTTACTTTATTAATAATTGTTATCTTAACAATAAAAAAATGAAATTAATTTTTTTTATTATACTAAAAACACAAGTATACAACAATTTAATGTTTATCGACAAAAAAAGTATAAGGATATTAAATGATTTTGTATTTAGTTTTTGATTGTTATTGATATTGAATTATAAACGATAGCAATATATATCAACAAATGAACATGTTTTTCAAATAAATAATTTTTTACTATTGTTATTTCTCAATATTTTTACCTAGGTTACTTATAGATATTAACTAGGAAGTTTTAAAAAAATACAATATTAATACTGTAGTAATTTGTTTACTAATCTAATTATTAACATATATATCATTTTTATTTTTATTAATTAAATACAATATATATAAATAAATTGATATTTATTTTTTATTATTATTAATAAATCATGATGTTTTCATAAATTGTCTATATTTGTGATTTAACAAAATTAATTCATATACAATTAAATAAATAAAAAAATATGGTTAACATGTTTTATACATTTATTTTTGAGGTCATTTCTCTCATAATTTTTTTTCATTGATGTCAGGTATACGTAAATTTATCACATTATCAAAAAAACATTATAACTATAATCTATGATATTGCATTGGTTAATTATTACAATATAATATAGTTTATTTTCAAAATTATATAAATGCATTTCAATGTATAGTAATATAATCAGATTAACCAGATATTGCTTAAACTAATAAATAAAACAACAATTTATTACTTTTATAAACAATTATTGTATATTATTTTGACTTAAAATTTATTATAATCATTAGTTAGCAAATGTCAATTAGTCAAATGACTTATTTAAATTATTTATTGAAATATAAAATACCGTATAATAAAACTATTTAGTAGTTATTGGTTAATTTTACATATATATAAATTTATCTTATTTACTTAAAATTGCAATTTTAAAAAATAACTGAAATAGGAAATAATTTTTTTAACAGAAATAAATAAACAAATACTTTATTTAATAAATATTAAAGCAATGCAAACAAACAAAATATTATTTACAATTTTTGGTATATCTTATAACTTATTTTTTGTTAACCAAAATATTATATTATTATTTTATTTAATCAAATATTTATTTATGTATTTATCATCAAATATGCATTTATTTAATTAAAAATTATTTATTTAATTGAATATTATTTATTTAATTAAATATTTTTTTTACTTTTTAATCATAATACAATACATACAATACAAGTTAATTATATATTTTTTTTTATAACACATAAATTATTGTGATAAAGATTATTATTGTATTTAACAATAATTACCTGTCATATACTGTACCATACATACACTAAATATAAAAAAATAAATTTGTTATCAATGAGACCATTAAGTTTTAATTGTTACTTTATAATTGTTTTAATTGTACTCTATAAAGCAACAACAAAAAATATTATTAGAAAATATTATTAGAAAATATTATTAGAAAATATCAACAAAAATAATACCAATTATTAATTTATTTTTAAAAAAATAAGTGTTACTAATTGTGTATTTTTAACTTTCAATTTTATTTTATTACTAATAAATAGTTTGTTTTATTTAAAACATATCATATTTAATCATAACTTTAGACTACCCGGCAATAATCGGCAATGTACTATTGGTCAGAATCGGGTAGTGCCGAACCCGATGGTGTAGGTGTTCAGGCACATTCATTACACTGGAGTGACTATCTAGTTATTGGCCTCTATTTTGCTGGCATACTGGCCGTCGGCTATTGGGTATTATGACAACAATACAAAAAATAATAATGATTTATTGATAAAATAATTTAATGATTAAATCAATATTATATATATATATATATATATATATATATATATATATAGTCATCCCGTAAAAGTCAAGGAGATTCAGTGAGCGGCTATTTTCTGGCCAATCGTAGTATGCATTGGATACCTGTAAGTTGGTTATATCAGCTACTATTGAATGCAGGGTTGTGTGAAATTTTGGCTTTTACCCCCCTGGCCTGAAGCCAGAAAGTTTATCGGCGCCGAAGGCGCCGAAAATTTTTTTCAATTATGTAAAATTTTATATTAAACAAAAAAATAAATATTAAATTAGTTTTAATATAAATTAATAGCTTATGTATAGAAAATAAATAGATAAAAATGCTTAATTACATCAATTTAACATTATTTACACTAGTTAGGGCACTCCACAAGCATAAATTCCCACCAAATTTTCAAAAAAATTAATGATATTTTATTTTATTTATAGCTGTTTATAAAAGATAATATATATTTTATTTCTTATTAAAAGTCGAAAACTAAGATTTTTAGCATAAATTTTAAAATAATTATATTTTAATATTTTTAAACTTTATATTAAAATTTGTTAGTTATGTGCTTTAAAAATAATATATATATATATATATATATATATATAGTCCCACCAATTTTCAAAAAAATAATCAAATATTTTATTTTATTTTTTAGCCTTTATAAATGATAATATTTATATATATTATTTCTTATTAAAAGTAGAAAACAAATTTTTAGCATAAATTTTAAAGTTATTATATTTTAATATTTTTAAATTTTATAGTAAAATGTGTTAGTTATTTTTCAATATGAAATACTATGTAAAAAAATATTCTTAAATTAATTATTTAGAACTAATTATTTATTTCTGACAATTTTATTATTATTATTATTAAAACGTTTTAATAAATACAGTATTAAAATGTGTTAGTTATGGTTCAATATAAAATACTAAAAAAATATGAACTAATTAATAATTATGCCAATATTATTATTATAAAACGTTTTAATATACAGTATTATATCATTAATTTTTAATCAATAACTATTTTTTTTAAAATCTAAATAATATTTTTATTTAATAATTATAATTATATTTGTTATATATATATTATATATAGAAAACATTTTGAGTATTGAGAAATTAAGTTGAGAATATTTTTATTTGTTAATTTATTGAAAATTTAATGGGAATTTAGCGGGAATTTAGTGGGAATTTATGGGAATTTATTGGGAATTTAATGGGAATTTAATGGGAATTTAATGGGAATTTAATGGGAATTTACTCAAATTTGGCAAAAATTGTCGTTTAAAAATGCAATAAAAAATGTTCACCCCCCCCTATACCCCCCAAGCTTTTTCGAAAATTTTGCCATTTTACCTCCCCCTATACCCCCCTGAAATCGAAAACCTTTAGCAACCCTGATTGAATGTGTGTGCAATTATGAAAACTGTAGTTAATTAGGTGGGTGCCTCATTGTTTGCCAGCAATGTTGGTTCGGGACATTTTGTTGGTCTGGCCGGATCAGGTGCCAGCAGCGGATTATCTATATCAGCGTTTGAATTTAATGTATACATAAATATATATATAAATAATTTTTCAAATATAAATTATAATATTTTTTTGATATTATATTTAATAAAAAGGCAATGTTTGTATTGTTGGTGTTGGGCTGGTTTTTTCTACCCGTCTATTTTGCTGCCGGTGTAAGTTTAAGTTATTTATTTATTTATTTATTTTTTATACAGCAAGTAATTGTTTTGTCAACATTTTTTTATATAAATACTAATAATACTAAATAATAATTATATTCAAAAATAATAGGTGAATACAATGCCTGAATATTTGCGCAAACGATTTGGTGGCCAAAGAATCCGTATTTATTTATCAGTATTAGCTCTATTGCTATATATTTTTACTAAAATATCTGTAAGTTTTTAAAAAATCAATCAATCAATCATTTAATTTGTACTTAAAATTCAAAAATCAATTAATATATGATAATTATAATTATGTTATTTTTTTAAAGGCTGATCTCTTTGCCGGTGCGCTATTCATAAAGCAGGCTCTGGGTCTTAATATGTATGTATCAGTTATCATACTATTGGCCATTTCGGCAGTGTTTACAATGGCTGGTGGCTTAACAACAGTTAGTTAATAGTAACAAATAATATATAAGCAGATTATTTATTTAATTTAAAAACATCTAATAATAATATTATTATCTTTAGGTAATGTGGACTGATTTTGTACAAACAATACTCATGTTAATCGGTGCACTTGTACTCACTATTTTAAGTATAGTTTTAATTTAATTTATCATTAATTAAAACAATTATCAGTAGTAACAACAACAACAAAAACAATTAAACTAAAACTAAACAACTGTCCTTATGATTAGGTTTAATTGAGGTAAAAGGTTACAGCAATTTGATGGATAACTTTGCAACACTGGCTGAGCCTACAAACCAGTCGTATGCGGCCATAGAAGACGGCAAGTCGTGCAGTGCTGTCAATAAATACTATAGAAATCTGTTGCGTCCGGCAAATGATGCCGACCTTCCCTGGACTGGTATGGTGTTTGGCATTACCATATCGGCTGTATGGTACTGGTGCTCAGATCAGGTAAATTAGATTTTTTAATAACTAAAAAAACAGATATATATATATTATTGTTGACCAAACAGGTGATCGTTCAAAGAGCGTTGTCAGCGAAAAACATATCGCACGCAAAGGCCGGCTGTACTCTCTGTTCATTTTTAAAGATATCGCCACTCTATCTAATGGTTTTGCCGGGAATGGCTGCCAGAGCTTTGTGGCCAAGTATGTCATACACATTAATTAGATATTAATGGATACAGTATATTAAAAAAATCAAATTTATGGCAATTACTGTTTGATACCTGTAGATGAAGTTGGCTGCTCTGATGCTGCCAAATGCAAAAGTATATGTGGTTCAGAAGCCGGCTGTACCAACATTGCCTATCCGCTACTTGTGCTCAGAATTATGCCAAAAGGTATGTCCACACAAAAATCATAAACCAACTTTTTTTTGTATATTAATAGTGAATATTTATCCTACTTTTATCAACAAAAAGGTGTGACCGGTCTTATGTTGTCCGTAATGATGGCCGCACTCATGAGTTCGTTGACATCAATTTTCAACAGTGCTTCCACCATATTTACTATTGATATTTACAACCGGTTTCGTCGACAGGCCTCTGAGATTGAACAGGTCATCGCTGGCCGAGCATTTGTATTGTTTTTGGTAGTGATCAGTATATTTTGGATCCCAATCATCGAAACCTCACAAAATAGTCAACTTTTCAATTACATCCAAAGTGTCACCTCATACCTATCGCCGCCGGTGTGTGCCGTCTATGTGTTGGCCATATTCTGGGGCCGAATCAATGAAAAAGGAGCCTTTTGGGGACTCATGATTGGTCTGGCTATCGGAATCGTCCGGTTTGTAATGGAGTTCTCCTACAGTGTTCCGCTATGCGGTTCGGGTGTTAAAGACAGTCGACCGACCATACTGTCCGAAATTCATTATTTGCATTTCGGTATCATTTTGTTTGTCATCTCATTGATAGTGACAACAGTGATCAGTCTGTTGACGAAACCGATGGAAGAGAAAAATGTATAAAAATTTAACAAAAAATATTATTAATTATTATTTATTTTTTTGTTTGATTAAAACTTATTGAATATTTGAAATTTATTTGAACAGTTATATCGGCTAACATATTGGTCAAAGTATAGTCAACTGGTGCGCGAAGACATTGATTGTGAAGAACAAGTCAGTAAACAGTCCGGTGAATCAAACAACTGTTTTGTGTCCGACGAAATGCCAACCGAAGATACCATTAAAGACCGACCAATAGATCAAAGTTCAGAAGACAAACAGAAACGAAGACTGTTATATACCATTTGTTGTGTAGGATCTGCTAATGGATCGACTGATGATGACTTGAATGTTGAAAACAAATGCAAAATAGAGACAAAAGAAGAAGAGGCGGTCCGATGTGCCGAAGAGGCCAAAGAAAATGATACCGTTTGGCGTGGAATTAACAATCTGTTTGCCATACTTGCTATCGCTGTCACCGCTTTCTTCTGGGGTTATTATGCTTAAGATATCAAAACAATTTGTTTTTTTTCAAATACTTATATATAATGAAAAATATTTTGTTTTCATATTTATATTATAAAATTGTTACTGTGAATCATTGTATGGATGAATATTTATATATCATTTATTAATACAATTAATTTTAATGAATAGTTAGTTTGATTAATAAATAAATAAATACTATTCAATCAATTAATTGTAATATAATTTTGTTTATTTGTTTAATTGATTTGTAATTAACAAAAAAAATTTAATAATAATTTGAAACAAATTGACTGACAAAATGAAAGAAAGAAAGAAATATGTCATTGATTTTGACATCATTTCAATTGACTGATCCCTGAACTGAATTGGTGTCTGTGTTTCATGGATTACGATTCAGACAGTGAGCCATAACATGGTTACGACAAATGGATTTGTAAATAAAAATTTTGTTACAGACATCACATCTGAACGGTCGGTAAAATGACAAATGATTTTCGATATGCATACGAAACAGACTGATGTCATCGACATTATTCATGTTTGTACACAAACGACACGAATACATCTTTTTTAACTTCTTTTTCTTCTTGTTTTTCACGGATTCGGATCGTTTGCCACCATCTCTACCACTGTCGTTGTTGTTAGCGGTAGAAGTACTCGGACCAGCCGTCGATGAGTGAGCAGTGGTGGTGGCGGCGGCGGATTGATTTTGAGGCCAACCGTTCATCGGTATTGGCTGCGGCATCCAGTGATAGGCCATCGAAGTTGACTGCAATTGGGAGATACAGTTCTGCGGCTGAATGTTACCATTGGTCGGGTGCTGATAGTTGGGGAAAAATATCAATGGATTCATCCATTGGGGAAGACATTGATTGTTTGTCTGTTGTTGAAGATTCAACACATGATTGTTGTCTGACTTTTCTTTTTCACTGATCTGTGAATTGTTTTCCGATTCTTGTAATTCTTGTGTCAACTCTTTGTTCACTTGTTTGTCAGTCATTTTTGTTTTTAATTTATCGATACTTATTAACAAATTAATCCTTAATTAAACGGCTTTTATTTATTTTTGATTTAACTATAATTTTGTAAAATTTATTTATTTAGTTTTTTCACGTGCAGTTAAAATCACTATTTAATTATCAAATTTTTAATAGACCTTAGAATTGATAAATTTACAGTTTATTTACATCAAAATTCATTGTATACCTAATAATACAGATATAAACTACATTTATAACCAATATTAACTAATTATAAATTGATGTCAAAATATTTTATAGACATAAATTATTTCAATCAAATTGATTCAATTGTTTGTATAGGTTGTTATCATTTATCGATATGTTATATGCAGTAAATTGATTCATGTATATTGTATTAAAGTTTTTTAGTAAATGTCGCGCACATTATTATATAAAATACAATACATTTAAATTATCTGTAAAATTGATTTTGAAACAAACTATAGTAATTAAGCATTTAATTTCAATAAATTATCATTTTGTTTGTATATCATCTAATATAATGTCATCATTATTACACATTACACGACTATCATTAGTCAATTGTTTTGCATTGAAGTTTTACCATCAATTGTTTGCTAACAGATATCGACAACAATTGCCAACAAACCGCCAAAACTATTGTCTACTAAAACAGTTTAGTCAGTGTTTGCGATGCTGTCATCAGTTGCTAACAATTGACGAGATTGTGAACGAGTGTCAAATAAAGACACTGCGAGTCTACAATCAAGGCTATACGGATGATGGTAAAAGTGGAACCGGTTGTGTGGTCGACGGCTACGGTGGTTATGTGGTCACCTGTAGCCATGTCGTCGGCGATATGAGGACAGTGTTTCCCAAATGTCAGTTACCGCCAAACTATCAAAAGATAACCAAACGTGCATTTGTATTGTATGTCGAGCCGTATAACGAGTTGGCATTGATTAAGATCTGTTACAAAGCCGATGACCGGCTAATGGAAGAATTGGACGATTTCGAGTACGCCGACGAAATGGCCGATTTCGGCGAACATGTAGTTTGTTTGGGTTATCCCCGAACTAAATACATGATGTCGACCACTGGCTATATAAACAGTCCGCAATCTATTCAAATACAGCCATATTTCAATCACTATCGATCAGCGGACAGCTTCCACATTGAACATACATGCGGTACGTCCAACGGGTTTTCTGGCAGTCCCATCATTGATGAATCGGGAAAGTTGATTGGCATACATCATAGTAAAGCCGATCGTAACAAAAAGTTTGCAAATCCAACGGATCAATTGTCTGGTATTTTGCTAATAATTTATCCATTTTTTTCTCTAATAAAATTAATTAATTTTTTTTCCTATTATTAGAGTTTATGGAGAATAGTATCGATTTTCTTGAGAAACAGGAGGTAAACAACAACTATTAGATTTAATAAATATTTAATTACAGATATAATGTTTGCACTTATTATAGATGATAACTGAAGACGAAGACAGAAAACGTTTGATTAGACAGAAAAATACTTTTGATGACAACCGACGTCTGGGACTAGAGATCTATTGGTATAATATATTTTATGTTAAAGAGTATCGTAAGTATATTAAAATGGATGGACGAAAATTTAAAAAGAAACAGTTGACCTACGAGGCCAGTGGTATATTTGTTTGGACAGTTGTCACCAGTAATGAACAAAAGTAAACGAAAATACTGTACATATACGGTATAATAATAATAATAATTTTGGGTATTGTTTTTAAATGTTTGTATTTCAGTCATTTACTACAAGACTTTGATATAATTATTCAAATTAATTATCAAAATGTTAACTCAATTAACGACTTGAGTCAAGCACTGGTAGCCAATGTTGGAAAAGCTATTATATTGACAGTCATACGCAAAGAGAAAGAATATGAGATACCTGTTAGTACCGATCAAATGTTTGAATCATTTAATAGTATTTGAATTTTATATTAAACTCTGTCTATATTATTATTATTATTATTATTATTAATTTTTATAATACAATTAAATGTTATCAAATAAAATCCATATTACTTTTAATCGTTTGCTATAATTACCTAAAAAAATAAAGTACTTTATAATAATTATTTAAGTTTACTGTACATACAGTATATACAGTATATACTACTATACATATTAGTATTTAAATTATTAATATATCAGTGATATAATATCACTCATTAAATATTGAATTATTTATCTTCTTAATCTTATATTAATTATATTATAGATTTATAATAAATAATAGATTAATATTTTTTTTAAACAAATATTTTTTAAACAAAAATACCAATTGAAATAAAAATAAAATAATTTGATTTAATGTTTTATTTTGTTGGTGTCAGAGTACAAAATTATAAAACATTTTTTTTATTGTACAGTATTTACATCAATAGAGATATCAATGGACTTTGACGGGTGTACATTGATGTCTATTGTGGTAAATAAAACAAAAAAAAAGTTTTTTTATGATTATTAAATAATTAGTAAAGTTTAGAAATTTAACATTTTTTACTTTTATTTAACAAAAATAAAAAATTTTAATCGTATTTATAAAATTTTATTGAGTATTACTGGTTATCTAACTTCGATGTTTATCTGAATCTAAATCACTTAAACTTAAATTAGTACTATTATTATAATTATTATTATTATTAACAATATCATTATCATTAATAAAAGCTGTATTAGTAAAATTATTATTATTATTATTATTATTATTGTTAATATCGACAGTTTTATTGTTAGCGTCGGTAATAATATCATTAATTTTGATGGTCGTCACCAACTCATGAATAACTGCCGGTGCCGGTGGTTTCTTTTTATTTCCCAACAAATCCATTGTCATTTTGGTAAACGGTTTGGTTGCAACAAATCCTACTAATAGAGAGATCAGGTATGTGATGATAAAGTCGGCCACAGTAGTGGTCATCTGATACCGGAAGCAAATAAACAAACAAAAAGAGATAAAAAAAATTTAGTTTTAAAAATGTCTATATTTTTGGGCAAATTGGGTGTGTCATATTTTTTTAAATGCTCACAATGTAGTAATCATTATAGGTGACCTGTTCCCGTAATGTACCGATTCGATATAAAATCACAAATAGATGTATCTGTTACAACAAATATATAAACAATTAGATATTTTTTGTTTTGTTTTTTTTTTAATATATAATTACGATATAAATTTCAATAGCTAAGTTATCAACAATTTTGAATCCCCTCCAACCCATTAGATTGTTTAAAAATGCTATAATAATAATAATAATAATAATAAATAAAGAGTTATTAAGATTATAATCAAATAATAAGTATAGTAATAGTCATTACCGGCTCTACCGGTAGCACAGGCATAGATAAGCCACGAAAAACCTGTCAAATAACAGACTTTATGGAGTACTAGATATGCATGCATTTCGTAGCCGTAAAAGCCATCGTATTTGTAATCAAATTGTAGAAAATCTTTGTTCCAGAAGACAATCCAGAAGCTTATGGATAGTGTGATCAACCATAGAAATGCTTCGCCTATTCGGCCGCCCAGATATGCATTGGGATGGCGTCTGATAGTGTAAGCCAATAGCATACCCATAACATAGGTCTGTACATACGGAAAAAACGACCAATACTGCCACTGCCAGCCATTAATGTTTCCGATGACGTTATCCCAGGTAAATGATTCATAGATGTGGGGCATATCGGCCATACCGTACCTCATAAACAACGGTATCGATATACCGATGATTAATAGCACAAAATTCCAGATGACACCTATTTTTGGCATCTTATAGAGTGCCAGAAAGGCTATCGGCGACAATGCATACAATTGAAAGTCAGCCGAAGCATACCTGTGCCATAATATATATAAATATAATTATTATTATTATTTTTTATCATTATTTTCTTTTTTAATTTCTTTAAAAAATGTTACATTACTTACCAGCTTACTGTCAGACACTACCGAAACCATACAGTATAATAATAATAATAAATTAATTAATAATATTAGACTATAAATGTCAACTATAAATAATTGTCAAATATTGTCATACCTGTAGAGGTGACGTGACATTACTGTTGTCATACATTTTATAATTAAAATTATTAACCATTAATAATGGTTTGTACCATATTTTATAGCACGGTTCAGTTACAAAAATTTTCATATTACCCCAAAATGGACCTAAATTTTGTTAATTTCAAAATATCATTAAAAGATTATTCTATATTATCAATAAAATGTTATTTAGCTTATAATTATAATTACCATCTCCTATGTATTCAAAGAGAAATGATATGCAAATACCGATAATTAGTATCGGAACTACTCGTAAATATCTATATTTAAAAAAAATTTTAAAAATTAAATTAATTATATATTACTATATATTATTAATTATACTACAGTCTGTTATCATAAATATATAATAGTAAAATGATAAAATCAATTTATTTAAAATGTATTATTTGTTGTTGATATGACCCGCAAACCTGAATATAATAAATTGTATATAATTGAACCGTCCTTTACTTTGCTCCAATTTTGACATAATTGTATTGCACAATAGGATTGCTATATTTAAAATAATTGATAATAATAATAAACTAATTTTGTTTTAGGAGTTAGGAGTTTATTATGAAAAAATTTATATATTTATATACTGTACATCTCATACCTGATATAAACATAAAGTTATCCATAAGTAGAGGATTAGGGATCAGCATATTTCGATAGTCATCTTTCATCCTATAGACTACCGATAGAAAATAGTTTCTTACGTGTACTACTAAAACGCCCGATTCATATGTGTGAACCAATATCACCCAAAATGTTAGGCCAGCTTTCATACCATCCATGGCTTTCAGTTTTTCGTATTGTCTCAAACTAAACAATTGTTTGGCACTCTGACGGCCGGAAAAACAGTTGACTATATAACCAATTGTTGTATTAGCTATCCATCTGTTAATAAACATAGTCTTCGGCATCAAATCGATGATTGTACTCAACAATGTCACGATTACCATCGATGACAATATAATACTAGATTTTAAATGACAACAATTTATTATTATTTTTTCATTAATAAATGGAAAATTTTTTGTTTGTTTATTAATATATCATTTATTACGCGGAAATCCATTGATGTTTAGTGAAAACTATGGGCTTATCTTTGTAATCACAATCTTCGTTGAATTTCATGGGTAGTCTAGTGATCGGATATATTACTAAATTGATTGAAATAAATTATTTTTTAATAACAATAAAAATTAATTAATTATTATTAAAATATATTATCAAAAACTAATAATATTATTAGTATTATTATAACTTTATGATTATAACTAATAAAAACCTAGCCTTACATTGATTTATGGCAAACGCTAAGTCATTTGGTTTACAAGTGGTGGGCAAACAAAATCCGTTTATAAACTTTACTCCTCTGGCAAAGTACTCAAGATATTCAAATGTGAGATCAATTTCGTGACGATTTTGTCTCTTGAGCACAATATTTCCGTAATAGCCTAACAAATTGAAAAATATCTTTTTCGTCTTTTCCGACGAGTTTACAGCTTTTAAGAGACCAACTGGATCAACATCTGCCGGATCAATGTCAAGAATCCAATCCATATCTAGTGCACAGTATTGTCCTTTGATGGTCGGTTTGTCCGTTTCGGCCGCACTTTCGATGCTCAGACATTCATCATAGTTGCCGTACGGCGGACCAGACATATCGACGACGCTCATACTCATCGATGGTTGGGAATCAAGAACTAAATATATATATATATAATTATGTTTGTTTTTTGTAATGTTTAAAATGTCAAAAACATTTGTATAAAATACATAATTAGTTTTTTTTATAAATATTTTATCATTAAATATTACATTTAAGTGCCCAGAGATCGCCATTTCTCATGCCATTAATAATCCTCATCAATGAGTTCATACAATTCTGGTCGATGTCTATAGTCATCAACAGTTCGGCAATTCTATTGCTGACTCTTTTGTTAAGTTCGGCTGTCTTTTCGGTAACATTTTGTCGATATTGTTGTAGTCTATTGAATGCGTTTACCGTATCGTTAAATGATTTCAATGTTTGTTTAATATTTTGTTTGCCCTCTTCATAGTCTTCCGGTGCCATCATTTCGACAATATTATCGATAATACCCTCTTCGCTGCATTGCTGGTCATCGCTGTCATTGTCGTCGTAGTCATCGTTAGTAAAATCATTGTCCGTTTGATTATTTGTTTTAAGACTAAAAACAGATTTACTAGAATCTAAACAATTGTTTAATCTAATAGATGCTAATAATATTAATAATAATATTAATAAATAGTTTTTATATTTCATATTTAAACTAAATATATATTAAATAACTTCAATCTACTATTTAATTTACTTAATTTCTAAAGTTTACATTAGATACTACACATATTAATAATTTTAGTAATAGATTTAATAATTATAAAACATTATGTGCACAAAACAATACAGTAATCACATATAAGTTTAATTTTGCTAAACGATAATAGTTTTCATTTGCAAATGTTACAAAATAATAATGTTTTTTATCATAATATAATATTAATATACAGTAAATGGGAATTTTGTCAATGATTGTAATAATTTAATTATTTATAGTTAGCATAAACATTATGCAAGCAATTCTAATTATATATCATAAAAAATAATTATATTTATATTAATCTTTACAACAAATAGTTATAAATACAGTAATTTCCTTATTATTTTACGTTAGATTATTATAATGACAACGTATCAGAAAAAAATATGCAATTCAATATTATAAAGTAAATAAATTTTAATAAAAAAAAATTATTTACATAAATTAGAAATACATAATAAAAATCTTAATTTTTAACATTAATACTATTAATTTAAATATTTATCATGTGGTTTATTTAAATTAATTACTGAAATTTTATTAATAGATGTATCAATAATATAGTTTGAATCAATTTTATCAGTTTTTATATAACTCTTGTCTTCATTTGTCTTTGTTTTTGATAAAGTTTTTGGTTTTAACCACGCATTGGTCATTGCAGTGAAGGGTCGGGTGACCAGAAAAGCAGTTATCACTGACAGTACATAAGTGCCGAAAAAATCAAACAACGATACCGACCACTAAAATAATAATAATAATAATAATAGACTATTAATATACTGTAGATATAAATAAATCATATGAAAGTATCATACGATGTAATACTCTGTATAAGTCCTCAGTTCTCGTTGGGAACCAATTCTGTAGACAAAGAAAAAGACGTGCATCTGATTGAGTGAAACAGAAAAATAGTTTTTAATTATGATTTTAAAAATATTTTTCATTAATATTATAATTACAATATATATTTCTAGACCCAAATTATCGATTATTTTAAAGCCTTTCCACCCCAACATTTCATTAAATGTGCCTAAAATTTTAATAAATAAATTTTATATAATGTTTTACTATATTCACACTTTCACAGACCTCCCCGGCCAGTGGAACAGCAATATATAAGCCAAACAAATGATGCCAAATAAATAGGTTTTCCAATCAATAAGTATAAAGGCATTTCATAATCATTGAAATCATATGCCAAATATCCGGGCGTAACAAAGTTTCGCTGCCAATAGAGTATACTAGTAGTCATACAAATAGTAATAATCCATATAAACATGTGTCCAATACGTCCGCCCAGATATGCTTTCGGGTGATATCGGACAGCATATGCCGTAATCATTCCTATAATATAAGTCTGTATATAATTAAATGGTTGCCAATAATGTCGTGCAAAACCCTCCATTGTCTGCATAACATCAGGCCATGAGATGGCCTGATAGACGTGAGGCAACTCTAGTATCTGGTAATTAAATATAGGCAACAAAATGCCAAATATTAATAATATAAACAACCAGATCAAACCAAATCGGGGATATTTATATAACACAAGAAAAGCTATCGGTGCCAATGCATACAATTGAAAGTCCAACGATGAATACCTTATCATAAAAATAGTGAAAAATAGTGTATTATATAATTAATTATATTTAATTTAAAATATTTAAACCTAATTTATTTTTAAAACACACACTTACCATGTTATTGCCAAACACTAGATATAAGATTTAATATGAATATAAACATGTATTAATTTATATATATATATAATTATTATATAATTAATGTAATGTATTAATACCTGAACTGATGTCAATATCGTTGAATTATCATTAGAATAGTGTAGTATATTAGTAGTCATAAGCAATGGTTTGTGCCATTTATCGTAACATTGATTTGTAAAATAGGATAACATTAGTTTCCAAATGGGACCTTTAAAACAACATTAGTTATCAATAATAAGACAAATAATTATATAAATTAGCATTATATATAATATTTTTTTTATATATAAAGCTTATATATATCAATACCTGAACCAGTAAATTCAAATAAAAAATTTATAAACAATGCAAACACAATTATTGGCATTAATCTAATATATCTATATAATATAAATTTAAAATCGCATTAATTATTTAATAATATATTATCGATATATTTTATTTTAATTATATATAATAATCGTAAAGTCATACCTAAATAATATATATTGAAAATAATTAAATCTCCCATTACTTCGTTCAAGTTTCGACAATATTGTGTTGCATAATAGAAAACCTAATAATATACATACAAAATAAATATATAATTAAATAGTTTTAAAATATAAAGCAATTAGCATATACAATAAATTAATAGCTAACCCGACAAAAGTACAAAATTATCCATAAGTAATATGTTTGGCAAAAACATGTTTCGATAGTCTAATGCCATTTTAAATGACGAGGACAGGTAGTGATTACGGTTAAACATAAACAACTGCCCAAATTCATAGGTATGCAAAACGACACAATAAAATGTTAGTATTGCACGAAAACCGTCCAAAGCCTTGAACTTTCCGTATTGTTGTAAACCAAATATCGACTGTGCGTTGGATTTACCGGAAAAACATTTGATAATAAAACTAATGTTTGGTATGGATAATAGCATTTTCTTAAATAGACTATCAGGTAAACAGTCTATAATTGTACTCAATATAAATATAGCGATTAGTAAACCGACACCAACACTAATATCATATTAAAGATAACAAAATAAAACAATTAATAATTAAATAGTAATTTATGGTAATATTAATATATACATTGACACAATATGATAGTTATTAAGCACTATTGGTTTGTCCTTATAATCACAGTCCTCGTGAAATATTATGGGAAAATGAGTTATTGGATACACCACTAAAAATATATATGTAATGTATATATGATTTAAGCAATTAATACTAATTATCAAACATTTATAGTATATAAAGTATGCATACATTTGGTTAGTACTCTGGAAAGATCTTGAGGCTTACAAGTCGATGGCAAACATAAGCCACGAAATAGTTTAACTTTTTTATAAACATTATTATCTGCAAACTCATACACCTGTTGCCAATGTTGTGCTGTCTTAACGTTATGAGTCTTAAAAAACTTTCCCAACATATTCCTCCAAATACTAAATGTTTGACTTTTAGAGACATTATTTTTGATAAATTTTACAAAATTGTCAAATTCAGCATTTGGTATGTCATGTAATTTAGGATACTGTAGTTCAGTACCGCAATACTGTCCATAGATTTTAGGTTTGTCCGCTTCGTCAGAACTTTCGATACTTAAACACTGGTCATAATTACCGTAAACCACTCCACTTCCTTCTAGTATACCGTTTGAAGGACGCGGTTGTGCTTCAAAAACTAGTATTTTAATTTTTTATAAAATCATTTAATACTGATATATATAGTATATATATAATGTAAAGTTTAACATACTGTATATTGTATTATTATTAAGTTTAGTATTAATATATTATAGTAATATACAATATAATAATAATAATAATACAAAAGACATACATTTAAGAGCCCAGATTTCTCCATCGCGGGCGCCGTTCATTATTCTGGCCAACGATTGCATACACTGGTCCTCTAAATCCATTTCCATCAACACTTCCGCCACTCGACTATTCATTCGTTTACTAAATTCTGATAATTTTTCGCTCACATTCTTGCCATAGATTTCCAGTCTATTAAAGGCTTTTATTGTTTCATTCAACGACCCAAACCTATGTTTAATATTTTGTTTGCCCTCTTCGTAGTCATCGGGAGTCAACTTATCGATAAAAAAGTCTAACATATCATCAGCTGAACAGTAGTTTTCATCGATAATATTATTATCGTTATCTTCATTATCCGATAAACTGGATATTATTTCTTGTGAATGACATTTAGTTAAACTTATCAAAAAAGACAAAACTAATAAATATAGTTTAAAATTCATATTTTTTTAATTAAATGTTTTCTATATTTAAAATATAGTCTAAAACTATTTTAACAATTTTATGCTAATAATTAATTTTAATATTATTAATTGTCTAAAATCTTTACATTCAAAATATATACAAAATCATTGAAATTTTTTTTATGATATAAAACATATCATAACTTGTTGACAGAGTAATAAAAAAAAGTATTTTATAATTTTTAATATTAGATATACACAATATTTTTGTATTTTTTTTGTGATTTAAAATGCAATTATGCAACTACATTACAATATATTATTAATAGATATTTGTATATAAAATGTACAAAAAAAATTATAAAAAATATTAGGAATTTTGTCAAAAAGTGTTTTTTATTCAAATAATAAAAGATATTTTCCATAAATCTTAATAAAAATAATTTACATGAAAATAATAATAAAAAAAAGTATACAGTACTTTATATTAGCACTTATTGTACATATAAAGTATTAATAATATATTAACAAATTTTTAAAAAATATTTGATTATGAAAAAAATATGTAAATTTTATTACGTAAATGAATAATTCTGATTCACTATTATTTTACTATTAATATCTGTATATAAATATTATATATAAACTTAATATAAGTTTAATATTTTTTTTATTAAAATACAGTAAAGTGTATCATAACTATTACCATTATATTCAGCTAAAAATGCTGATATAAATTAACTAAACTATTAAATTAAAATCATTTATAAAATAAATAACACAAAAAGTTATGAAAAAAACTTAAATATAAATTATAATTTAAATGTTTGTCACTTTCCTTCACCTTCAATGATAGGCAATTAAAATATATTTAATAACTGGAAAAATATGTTTTTTCATGTAATTTTTGTATAAATGTTTTAACAAAAGTCCTATAGATTAATAATTTTTAAGTTTTAAAACTTTTAAATTTTATTAATATTAATTTAATTCAAATATACAGTTTTATTTCCAAATTAATGTTATTTATAATACTGTAAATTATTATCAATAAAATAAATTTTCAGCAATAGTAAAATAAATTATACAAAAACTTTAAATATATATTATTAAATCTATAATTAAATAATAATAATATAATAAATAACAATTATATATTGAAAAAATTATATTATTACATCTGATAAACTATTTTATCATTATTATAATGAATAACATTTAATGTTTTCCTATCAGTGTCTGTGAGTTCAGGAAAATTATTGATTGATTTTTCCATATAATCAGCATTTGAATCAATTGTATCTAATTTTACAGATTTGTTGTCAACATTTTCACCAATACTTTCTTTTGGCGTACGTTTAGGTTTGAGTAATACATTAGTCATTGCAGTGAACGGTCGGGTCACCAGAAATGCAGTTATCACTGACAGTACGTATGAACCGACAAAATCAAACAACGATACCGACCACTAAAATAATTATATATAAAAATATATATGTATAACAATAAAGTAAAAATAAATCAATAATAAAAATAAAAATCTAATACATAAACATATCTCACAATATAATACTCTGTATAAGTCCTCAGTTCTCGTTGCGAACCAATTCTGTAGACAAAGAAGAAGACGTGCATCTGATTGAGTAAAATATTATAAATAATTGATTTAATTTCAATAAAATAAATCTCATTATTATTATTATCAAAATTACAATATATATTTCTAGACCCAAATTATCAATAACTTTAAAGCCTTTCCATCCCAACATTTCATTAAATTTGCCTAAAATAATAATAAATAAAAGTAATATTGTTTTTAATAAATTCACATTTTTCACAGACCTCCCCGGCCAGTGGAACAACTATATACAAGCCAAACAAATGATAACATATAAATAGGTTTTCCTAACAATAAGTATAACGGCATTTCGTAATCATTGAAATTGATGGCCAAATAGCCGGGCATAACAAAGTTTCGCTGCCAATAGAGTATACTGAATGTCATACAAATAGTAAAAATCCATATAAACATGTGTCCAATACGTCCGCCCAGATATGCTTTCGGGTGATATCGGACAGCATATGCCGTAATCATTCCGATAATATAAGTCTGTATATAATTAAATGGTTGCCAATAATGTCGTGCAAATCCATCTATTGCTTGTACAGTATCTGGCCATGTAATGACCTGATAGACGTGAGGCATTTCTAGTATCTGATGATTAAATATAGGCAACAAAATGCCAAATATTAATAATATAAACAACCAGATCAAACCAAATCGGGGATATTTATATAACACGAGAAAAGCTATCGGTGCCAATGCATACAATTGAAAGTCCAACGATGAATACCTAATTAAAAAATAATAATTTTACATTTATTACATTGAAATTTTCGTGTAAATTTTATTAATATAAAAACAATCAAGACATTACCAGGTTATTCCTAGACACTAAATATTATATCAATAAAAAAATGTATTAATTAATTAAATTATTAAAATTTAAACTCATTATAATTTTTTTAAAAAACCTGAATTGATTGAAGTACAGTTGAATTATCGTTTGGATAGTACAGTATATTAGTGGTCATAAGCAATGGTTTGTGCCATTTATCGTAACATTGATTTGTAAAATAAATTAACATATTTTTCCAGTGTGGACCTTAAAAATGTTTTTTTACTACTTTAGTAATAATTATAATTAGGTAAATATATATAGTCATACCTGAGCCGGAAAATTCAAACAAAAATGTTATAAATAATGCAAATAAAATAATTGGTAATAATCTTAGATATCTAATAAGTAAATTTTTTTCAAAGAAACAAACAATAATAAATGTATTAATAATATTTTTAAATTAAAAATTAATTATTTGTTTATTTTGTTTTATACCTAATTAATAAATAGTGTAAATAATTGAATCTCCCTTTGCTTTGTTCAAGTCTTGATAATATTGTATTACATAATAGGAAACCTATTCAAAAAAAAAATAAACATAAAATTTTATTTATAAAAAAATATTATCTTTTATTACCGGATAAAAGCACAAAGTTATCCATAATCAAAATGTTTGGCAAAAACATGTTTCTATAATCTAATATCATTTTATATGATGAGGACTGATAGTGATTCCGAGTAAACATAAACAACTGTCCAAATTCATAGGTGTGTACAACAACACAATAAAATGTTAGTATTGCACGAAAACCGTCCAAAGCTTTAAACTTTCCGTATTGTTGTAAACCTAATATCGATTGTGCGTTAGATTTACCGGAAAAACATTTGATTATAAAACCAATGTTTGGTATCGATAGTAGTTTTTTCTTTAGTAGACTGTCTGGTAAACAGTCAATAATTGTACTCAATATAAATATAGCGATTAGTGAACCGACACCGACACTGTTTTTTATAAAAAGAAAATCTTTTATTTTTATCTAAAAGTTTATAATACTAAAAATTTGAATGTTAATAATAATGATACATACATTGACACAATATGATATTTATTCAACACAATTGGTTTGTCTTTATAATCACAGTTTTCATTTAATTCAATAGTAAAATGAGTTATTGGATACATCACTATAGGTTTAATAAACAAAAATTATATTTTGATTATATGTCACAAACACACAGACTGTTACATACATTTAGTTAATACTCGGGAAACGTCTTTTGGTTTACAAGTCGATGGCAAACACAGACCATTGATTATTGTCAGGTCTTCATGGATAGTGTTTTGGGAAAACTCGAACAATTGTTGCCATTGTTTAGCAGTTTTGATACTTTTAGACATAAAGAACTTTCCCAATAGATTGCTATAAATGGCAAACGAGGAACTGTTTGTCTCTTTTTTTAAATAGTTTGATAAATCTTCGTAAGCACTCATCGGTATCTGATGTCTGTCAAGCAATTGATGTTTTATTCCGCAATACTGACCGTATATTTTAGGTTTTTCCGACTCATCGGGACTTTCGATGCTCAGACACTGGTCATAGTTACCATACGATGTACCGCTTAGCTCGAGTATACCGTTTGATGGAGTGGGTTGTGCCTCAAAAACTGATCATTTTAGTGACAATTATAGTTATATAATGTTAGGTATAGTTTCCTATTTGGTTAAAAACTCTGGGGGGGGGGGGGGGTAAAATCCCAAAATCTTTATGTTAGGGTAGGGGTATTTTCGCCATACCCCTTGCTTAACCCTGATATATATATAATATTTATCAATTATGACATACATTTAATTGCCCAGATTTCGCCATCGCGGGCGCTGTTCATTATTCTGGCCAACGATTGCATACACTGGTCCTCTAAATCCATTTCCATCAACACTTCCGTCACTCGACTATTCATTCGTTTAGTAAATTTCGATAACTTTTCGCTCACATTTTTACCGTAGATTTCCAGTCTATTAAACGCTTTAATCGTTTCATTCAATGACCCAAACGTGTGTTTAATATTTTGTTTGCTCTCTTCGTAGTCATCGGGAGTCAACTTATCGACAAAAAAGTCTATCATATCATCAGCTGAACAACCATTTTCATCAAAACTGTTATCATCAACACTGTCCTCTAAACTGGATACAGTGTTCAATGATGTTATTATAAAACAAATTAATAAAACAAACTTAATCATTAGTTTTAACATATATTTATTAATGAGTAATCAAAAACTATTATTATTTGATATCTATATATACTGTATGTTATACTAAATATAATTATATATAATTATCTAAACTATTGTTTAATAGATCCAATGTACTACTGCAATAAAATTAGACTATTTTATTTATTATATACAGTTTATTGAAACTATTGCTAAATAATTTAATTTCAAAACAGAAATAACCACTTAATAAATAAATATATTTATTTATTTATAAATATATATTTATAAATAAATAAATAAATTAAATTAAATAAATAAATAATTTAAATAAAAATTTTGTCACAATCAAAAATTATAATATATTTTTATATATTAATATATTATAAACAAATTTTTGTATATTAAAATTATTGAATAGTAAACACACAAACACAAAAAAGATTTAATAAAAACAAATTAATAGTAGATTGAAAATAATTATCAAAAAATATCATTATGTTTTAAAATAAGTTAAAATTTTTAAAAATTTATCTTAGATTAATAAATAAATTTTATTTATAATTTTAATAGGATTTGGCACACCTTATACTCTAAATAGGCCTAATAGATCTTATTAAATATTTTTATAGATTATACTGTAAACTATCACAATATTATATATTCCGTTACAATATTATTTAATTAAATTTATAAGTATGAAAAGTAATTTATTAAATACTGTTCATTAATATAAGGTGTGATTCATATATTACGTTTCTAGACTCCCTGTTCGCAATTGTTCGCATGTATCATTTTTAAGGTTTTAAGGTCTCTACTCCCCCTCCCCATCAACTCGTCCGAAAAAATTTCCTTTGTCCGACACCCCCACCCTAAGCGCAAACGTAATATGTGAATCACACCTAAGCAATTAGAAATTTCTAATAAATTACTCAAATAATGTAGAATAAATTTAAACTTTTACTTAATTATTTTAATATAAGATTTACTATAATTTTAAAAACAGTATCATTGATTAATTATATAAATTTATTTATAAACAATATTTTAATAATATTTTAGTTATTTATTAATAAGTTAGTTGTTTATTGATATACAGTATAGCGAAATAAAAATTTATTTATATAAGAAATAAATAATGTTCTGTATTTTACGTCAAATAATTATATCACATTTATTTAAATATTTAACATAGAAATTATATAAATTTATATTTATATTATCTCTATAATAAAACAATAGTTAAATAAAGATAATTATTTTATATTTAAAAATATTTTACTACATATGATAAATTATTTTATCATTATTATAATTAATAACATTTAATGTTTTCTTATCAATGTCTGTGAGTTCAGGAAAATTATTGATTGATTTTTCCATATAATCAACATTTGAATCAATTGTATATAATTTAATAGATTTGTTGTCAACATTTTCACCAATATTTTCTTTTGGCGTACGTTTAGGTTTGAGTAATACATTAGTCATTGCAGTGAACGGTCGGGTCACCAGAAATGCAGTTATCACTGACAGTACGTATGAACCGAAAAAATCAAACATCGATACCGACCACTAAAATTAAATTATATATATATATAATTTTTGATTAACAAATATACAAAACAAAAATTAATTTAAAAAATCAATAATAACAATAAATCTATTTATAAAATACATAAACATATCATACAATATAATACTCTGTATAAGTCCTCAGTTCTCGTTGCGAACCAATTCTGTAGACAAAGAAGAAGACGTGCATCTGATTGAGTGAAATATCAAAAAATAGTTTTAATTATTACTAAATAAAATATTTTTCATTAATATTATAATTACAATATATATTTCTAGACCCAAATTATCGATAATTTTAAAGCCTTTCCACCCCAACATTTCATTAAATTTGCCTAAAATATTAATAAATAGATTTTATATATTGTTTTTCTATATAACATTTTAATATATAATATTTTTACAGACCTCCCCGGCCAGTGGAACAACTATATACAAGCCAAACAAATGATAATAAATAGATAGGTTTTCCTAACAATAAGTATAACGGCATTTCGTAATCATTGAAATTGGTGGCCAAATAGCCGGGCATAACAAAGTTGCGCTGCCAATAGAGTATACTGAATGTCATACTAATAGTAACAATCCATATAAACATGTGTCCAATACGTCCGCCCAGATATGCTTTCGGGTGATATCGGACAGCATATGCCGTAATCATTCCTATAATATAAGTCTGTATATAATTAAATGGTTGCCAATAATGTCGTGCAAAGCCCTCCATTGCTTGTATAAAATCTGGCCACGCAAAGGACTGGTATATGTGCGGAAACTCTAGCATTTTGTAATTAAATATAGGTAACAAAATGCCAAATATTAATAATATAAACAACCAGATCACACCAAATCGGGGATATTTATATAACACAAGAAAAGCTATCGGTGCCAATGCATACAATTGAAAGTCCAACGATGAATACCTTATAATTCAAAAAAATAATATTATATTAATCAAACATTTTTGTAATGTTTATTTATTAATATAAAAACAAATCAAAACATTACCATGTTATTCCTAAACACTAAATAAAAATAAAAAATATATAATATATAAATTAATTAAATTATTATAATTTACATTCATTATAATTTTTTAAAAACCTGAATCGATGAAAGTACAGTTGAATTATCATTTGGATAATATAGTATATTAGTAGTCATCAGTAAAGGTTTGTACCATTTATCGTAACATTGATTTGTAAAATAAATTAACATATTTTTCCAGTGTGGACCTTAAAAATATAAGATATTAAATGAATATAAATATTTATTGTTATTAATTACTTATGCAGTCATACCTGAGCCGGAAAATTCAAACAAAAATGTTGTAAACAATGCAAATACAAGAATTGGCAATAATCTTAGATATCTATTAATATATATATATATTTTAATATAATAACAACAGTTGTTTTATAATAGCAATAAATCTGAATTAAATTATTTGTTTAATAAGTTTAATACCTAAATAACAAGTATTCAAAATAGTTAAATCTTCCTTTGCTTTGTTCAAGTTTTGACAATATTGTATTACATAATAGAAAACCTATTTAAATAATAAACATTTAATTTGATTTTTTAAAATTATATTTTTTTAAACAGCAATTTAGTTATTTTGTTTACCCGATAAAAGCACAAAGTTATCCATAAGCAAAATGTTTGGTAAATACATATTTCTATAATCTAATATCATTTTATATGATGAGGACTGATAGTGATTACGGGTAAACATAGACAGCAGTCCAAACTCATAGGTATGCAAAACGACACAATAAAATGTTAGTATTGCACGAAAACCGTCCAAAGCTTTAAACTTTCCGTATTGTTGTAAACCAAATATCGACTGTGCGTTGGATTTACCGGAAAAACATTTGATAATAAAACCAATGATTGGTATCGTTAGTAGTTTTATCTTTAATAGACTGTCTGGTAAAAAGTCAATTGTTGTACTCAATATAAATATAGCAATCAATGAGCCAACACCGACACTAATATGTAAAGAAAAATATATTTATCTAAAAGTTTACAATACTAAAAATTTGAATACAAACATTGACACAATATGATATTTATTCAATACAATTGGTTTATCTTTATAATCACAGTTTTCATTTAATTCAATAGTAAAATGAGTTATTGGATACATCACTATAGGTTTAACAAAAAAAAAAGTTATAATTTGATTATATGTCACAAACAAACAGACTGTTACATACATTTTGTTAATACTCGGGAAACGTCTTTTGGATCACAAGTCGATGGCAAACACAGACCATTGATTAGTGTCAGGTCTTCATGGATAGTGTTTTGGGAAAACTCGAAAAATTGTTGCCATTGTTCGGCAGTTTTGAGACTGTGTGACATAAATAACTTTCCCAATAGATTGCGATATATGGCTAATGAGGAACCGTTTATTTCTTTTTTAAAATAGTTTGACATATCTTCGTAAGCACTCATCGGTATCTGTTTTCTATCAAATATTTGTTGTTTTATTCCGCAATACTGACCATATATTTTAGGTTTATCCGACTCATCGGGACTTTCGATGCTCAGACACTGGTCATAGTTGCCATAGGATGAACCGCTTAGCTCGAGCATACCGTTTGATGGAGTAGGTTGTGCCTCAAAAACTATTTATTTAATTGACAATTATAGTTATACTACTATATAATTGATGCAAAAAAATAAAATAATTTTCTTTATCAAATAGGACATACATCTAAGTGCCCATCTGTCCCCATCGCGGGCGCCGTTCATTATTCTGGCCAACGATTGCATACACTGGTCCTCTAAATCCATTTCCATCAACACTTCTGCCACTCGACTATTCATTCGTTTAGTAAATTCCGATAACTTTTCGCTCACATTTTTGCCATAAATTTCCAGTCTATTAAAAACTTTAATCGTTTCATTCAATGACCCAAACGTGTGTTTAATATTTTGTTTGCCCTCTTCGTAGTCATCGGGAGTCAACTTATCAATAAAGAAGTTTATCATACTATCAGCTGAACAGCCATTTTCATTAAAATTGTCATCATCTGCACTGTCCTCTAAACTGGACACAGTTTTCAATGATATTATTATAAAACATATTAATAAAACAAACTTAATCATTAATTTAAACATATATATATATATTAATAAGTAAACAAAAACTTTTATTATAATAAATATAACTAACTGTAAATAATTAATAAAACTATTTTAAATAATTGTATCTTATTATTAATTATTAAATATATTGTATCAGATTACAGTAATAAAAATTATACTGTTTTATTTATTATATTTATATTAAAACTATTGCTAAATAATTTTAATTTTATAACAAAAATAACCACTTAAAAATAAATATCATAAATAATTTTTAAAAAAGTGTTTGTCATAATAAAAAAATTAATATTTTATTAAATTTTGAATATAATACAGTAAATAGATTACAATTGATTTAAATATATTATTTTAAATTTATAGTTAAATATTTTATATCAAATGTTATCTTGGTAATTTATTATTAAATAAATCTGATTTATGATATTAATAGGATTTAACTCATCTGCAGCTTAAATATGTAAATTTATGTTTTATTACAAAATTGTAACTTATAATACAATTTAATAATAAATATGACAAATCCTTTATTAAATACTCTACATAGAAATGGGCAAATAGAAAATTCTAATAAAATTTTCTAGTAACTTTACCAAAAAATATAATATATTTATATAGAAATATTACTTTATAATTAGACTATGTGAATCTTATAAATATTTTTTTAATACAGTTTATTAATACAGTATATACTATATATTACAATACAAATCTAGTATAATATATCTGGAATTACTATAAATAAGTAGTATTATAATATAAAGTTTATTTGTAATTAATTATTAATCTAATGTTTAAATTAAATTTCCAAAAAATTAAAAAAATAACTGATTATCTGTAATAATTGTTAACCTTTGATATTAGTGAATTTAAATTATAATTGCTACTAATTTATAGCGTATTAAAAAAGATAAATTAATTAATTAACTAAAATAATTTTATGTAAAAATTTCTATTAGAAGAAATTTTCTAATATTTTTTTAAAGAAATTTCTGTTTTTTATCTAACGTTAACTGTACATAATAAAGTTGTTTAAAAATATAATATTTGATATAATGTAAATATTAAGCAAAAATTATTATGCAATACTAAATTATACTGTAAACTATAATTTGTTACTAATAATTTATTTTTTTAAAAAAACAAAAAAATTATATTATATGAAAAATAATGTAATTATTTCCTCTGTATTTTACCTTAAATACGTTTTTTGTTTCTTTTGTCACATTTATTAATACACAGTATATATATATATACATATTATAAACTAAAAACTTTTTTTTTTTTTAAATAATTAGTTGACTATAATATATATTGTATACTATAAATGATAAACAATTTTATCATTATCACAAAATATTATATTTGAAGAGTCGCAGTCAACTACATCGTTAACATTATTCAAAATTGGATAATCATTTGAATTAATTTGATTTGATTCCACACTTTTAGTATGACTTTTAATTTTTGGCGTACGTTTAGGTTTGAGTAAAGCATTTGTCATAGTAGTGAACGGTCGGGTAACCAGAAATGCAGTTATCACTGACAGTATGTATGAACCGATAAAATCAGTCATCGATACCGACCACTAATAATAAATACATTTTAATTAATAAAAAATCTAAATAAAAGTATATAAAAAGTACATAAAAATATCATACAATATAATACTCTGTATAAGTCCTCAGTTCTCGTTGCGAACCAATTCTGTAGACAAAGAAGAAGACGTGCATCTGATTGAATGAAATATCAAAAATAATTTTAATTATTATTAAATAAAATATTTTTCATTATTATTATAATTACAATATATATTTCTAGACCCAAATTATCGATAACTTTAAAGCCTTTCCACCCCAACATTTCATTGAATGTGCCTAAAATATGAATGAATAGATTTTTAATATTGTTTTAATATACTGTATTCACATATTTTCACAGACCTCCCCGGCCAGTGGAACAGCAATATATAAGCCAAACAAATGATGTCAAATAAAAAGGTTTTCCAATCAATAAGTATAAAGGTATTTCATAATCATTGAAATTGGTGGCCAAATAGCCGGGCATAACAAAGTTTCGCTGCCAATAGAGTATACTAGTAGTCATACAAATAGTAATAATCCATAAAGTTATGTGTCCATAACGACCGCCCAGATATACTTTCGGGTGATATCGGACAGCATATGCCGTAAGCATTCCTATAATATAAGTCTGTATATAATTAAATGGTTGCCAATAATGTCGTGCAAAACCCTCCATTGTCTGCTTAATATCTGGCCATGTAAAGGACTGATAGACGTGAGGTGACTCTAGTATCTGGTAATTAAATATAGGCAACAAAATGCCAAATATTAATAATATAAACAACCAGATCAAACCAAATCGGGGATATTTATATAACACAAGGAAAGCTATCGGTGCCAATGCATACAATTGAAAGTCCAACGATGAATACCTTTTTCATTTTAAATAACATACATGTTTAGCAGCTAAATAATTAAAATAACTATTTTATTAAAATATTTTATAATACTAACCATGTTATGGTTAAACACTATATAAATGAAAAAAATAATTTTAAAAATATGTAATTATTAATTTAATTAATTTTTAATAAATAGTGTAGAAATATTATAAATAGTATAATTATTTTAATGAAAATAATACTTGAATGGATGACAATAAATCTGTATCATCATTTGGATAATATAGTATATTATTGGTCATAAGCAATGGTTTGTGCCATTTATCGTAACATTGATTTGTAAAATAAATTAACATATTTTTCCAAATTGGACCTAATATATGGAAAATGTTAATATTATTTTTATTTATTTTTATTTATTTATTATTTATAATAAATCTATCATTAATAAAATTATTTACCTGATCCGGAAAATTCAAACAAAAATATTAAAAACAAAGCAAACACTATAATTGGTACTAATCGCACATATCTTTAGACAACAAAGAATAATAATAATTGTTTATTAATTATTAAATTTTTAATATTCAATTAAATTATTTGTTTTTAATTAGTTTTATACCTAAATAACAAGTATTCAAAATAGTTAAATTTCCCTTTGCTTTGCTCAAGTCTTGACAATATTGTATTACATAATAGGAAACCTATTAAAAATAATTAACATTTAATTTGATTTTTAAAAAAAAATTATTTTCAAACAATAGCAATATAGTTATTTTGTATACCCGATAAAAGCACAAAGTTATCCATAAGTAAAATGTTAGGCAAAAACATGTTTCGATAATCAAATGCCATTTTATATGATGAGGAATGATAGTGATTACGGGTAAACGTAAATATCAGTCCAAACTCATAGGTATGCAAAACGACACAATAAAATGTTAGTATTGCACGAAAACCGTCCAAAGCCTTGAACTTTCCGTATTGTTGTAAACCAAATATCGACTGTGCGTTGGATTTACCGGAAAAACATTTGATTATAAAACCAATGTTTGGTATCGATAGTAGTTTTTTCTTTAGTAGACTGTCTGGTAAACAGTCAAAAAGTGTACTCAATATAAATAAAATAATTAATGAACCGACACCAACACTGATATTACAATAGAAATAACATTAATAAACATAAATTATAATTAAATAAATAGTAATAAATCATACATACATTGACACTTTATGATAGTTATTCAATACAATTGGTTTGTCCTTATAATCACAATCATCATCCAATTCAATGTTAAACCGAGTTAATGGATATGTTACTAAATTATACAAATTTATTTAAACCAATTGTCATATATTTGTAAATTATTAAAAAAAAACATACATTTTGTTAGCACTCGAGACAAATCTTTCGGACGACAAGTGGATGGCAAACAAAAACCGTTTATTACATTTGAAATAACGAAGTGACTATTATCGGCAAATTCTATAACTTGTCGCCATTGGTCGGCAGTCTTCACCCGATGTGACTGAAAAAACTTTCCGATAATATTTTGTAACAAAACAAATGATAGACTTTTCGAGACATTATGTTTGTAAAAGTTTGCCATATCTTCGTAAACATTCAACGGTATCTGTTTTTTGTCGATTGATTGATGTTTTATTCCGCAATATTGACCGTATATTTTAGGTTTATCCGTTTCGTCGGGACTTTCGATGCTCAGACACTGGTCATAGTTGCCATACAAGACACCGTTTAGGCCGAGGATACCGTTTGAAGGACGGGGTTGTGCCTCAAAAACTATTTATTTTATTGACAGTTATAGTTATACTAATATATTATTGAAGCAAAAAATAAAATAATTTTGTTTTTATTAATTGGGACATACATTTAAGTGCCCAGAAGTCCCCATCGTTAACGCCATTCATTATTCTGGTTAACGATTGCATACACTGGTCCTCTAAATCCATTTCCATCAACACTTCCGCCACTCGACTATTCATTCGTTTATTAAATTCTGATAATTTTTCGCTAACATTATTGCCATAGATTTGCAGTCTATAAATCGCTTCGATTGCTTCATTCAACGACCCAATCCTATGTTTAATATTTTGTTTGCCCTCTTCATAGTCATCGGGAGTCAACTTATCGATAAAAAAGTCTAACATATCATCAGCTGAACATCCATTTTCATTATTATTATCGTTATTTTCATTATCCAATAAATTAGACTCTGTTGTTGTTTCATCACATTTAATAAGATTAATTAATATAGCAATTAAATACAATAAGTTTAATTTAAGTTTCATTTTTTAAATTGCTACTATTTTACTAAATAAAATAAGATCTAAGATTTATACAATATATATATAAGGATTAATATTTATTTAGTATTTTAAAATATTTTAAATAATATTAATTTATTATATTTAATTTCTACTATTTAATAGACATATATATTTGGAAAAAAATATTTTTTTTTTAATAATTTACATATTAATATAATAATTCATTTTTTTATAAATTTTCATTGACCATTGAAATGATTGCAAAATATTACAACATTATTATCTTTTAATACTTTTTATTTTTTTACAATTTACAATACAATTTATATTTATTATTATTATTATTATTATTGCAAAACTTTAGCAATACCCACTTAATTAGAAAAACTTAAAAGTTTTTACAACTTATAAAAGATTATTATTTAAATACTTTTTTTTTAAAAAATACATATTTATAGCCAGTTTTCAATGATTTATGATTATTGTTTTAAACTTTGTTGTGGTAATTTGACAATTTTTTTAAAAAGTATTTATAATGTATAAAAACATTCATATAACTTATTGTGATTGAAATTTGAATTTTTACAATATTTAACATTTTCATTGACAATTAAACTCAAATGATTAATTAATATATTTAGTAATTTTAAAATATATTATAAACTTTGTTTGTATCTTTGTTGTTGTTGTTGATAACATAAAATTGAATAAAACAAAATAAATTTAAGCATTTAATTAAATTAATTTATTTATATCAGACAGTAATTGTGCGTAAAAATTGTTTTTTAAAAATTAATATAAAATTTTGACTTAAATCTAATTTATAGACAATATTGTCTATTATGTAGTTATTCATCTAAAATGTTAGTTTTATAATCTAGATTTTAACTAAAAATAAAACAATTAAAAATAATATACAATTTTATTTTTCAGTTATAAAGAAAACAAACAAAAACATTAAAATTTTAAACAGATTATAGACAAAGAGTAAAAAAATTATTTGACCCAAACCCCTACCCACCCATTATGGGTTAGATATCTAACAACTTTAGTTAGATATCCAACCCTCTCACTCACTCACCCACACTAACTTAACTAACTTGTAAGTAATAAAATCTCAAACAGAAATGGAAATCCATGTCCAGGAAACCATCGACAACTGTTAAGAGGGCAAAACAATACGATTCCCGATCCCGTTTGACCACTATTTGGTATCTTTTAATTGATAGAAAGGCATATATGATATAATAATATTAATGCAATAGTTATTGCACTCTATTTATGTTTTATTAGTATACAAAATTAAAACAAATATAGCAAAAATAAGTAAAAAAAAGAGTTATCTTATTATATAAATGCAATATGACTTATTATCTATAGAATTAAATGTGAAAATTATATCTCAATTATAAAATAATAAAAAAAAGTAAAAATCTTTTCAATAAAATATATGCAAATAACAAAAACAATTGTAAAATAAAATCAAAAAATATTTATACAAATGAAAAAACAAATAAATTAAACGCCAAAAAATCGTTTAATTGTTACAATTGGAGGTCAACTCTAGTATCCGAACTATGGATAACTCGCGAACCTCTTGAGCTGTCAAAACAACTCCGAATTCTCGTTCAATAAACAGTTGTATCTCTACCGCCATCAGTGAATCCATTCCCAGTTTCAGCAATTTTGTGCTGGGATTCACTTTTTTGATGTCATCCATACCAAGAATGTGTGCCAACTTCTTCATAAAGTTTTCCTTTCCTCCGCCCGACTCCTGACGTGACTCGCATTTAACGAAAGAAATGGTAACGGCTTTGTCCGACTGTAGCATTGCATCCAAATAATAACATTGCATTCAATGATAAATTAGAATATTTAGTAATTTTATAATATATTATTTTGTTTGAATTTATTTCGTATTTTAAGCTAAAATAAAATAAGACTAAATAAAACAAAATTAGCAATAAATAAATAAAATAAATTTATATTAGACAGCAATTGTGTATAAAAATTACAAAATCAAAAAAAAAATTAATCAGAAATTTTTTTTTTATTTGCAAAACATTACTGAAATAAATTGTATATTATTTTTAATTGATTTAATTTTTAACATCCATTGCTTGTATGTCCTGTGGTTCGTCTGATGCCAGTTGTGATGAAATGGATGGACTCGAAGATAGAACAGGACTTGTAGGACAGGATGACGATGACAATGACGATGACGAGGATGTGATAGGATTAGCTGCCCTTTCAATAACAAACTTTTGGACAATAGTGTCGGCGCCGGTTGGAAACTGTGTGATCTTACCGTTTATTAGGCACACAAGTAAATGATTTCGCATGAGTTGCGGACTATTGGAAAACAGTATTTCCGACGGGTCTCGGCCGGCGCAGAGGGCTTCGGCAAATGCTATGGCATAGACACCGCACTGGCTATTGTCGTCCTGTTGGGTACAAAACGGTACATCAAGTCTAATACTGTCTTCAGATTTCATTAATCTTGTGACGGCGTTCTTGATTTCGTCGCCATAGAGCTTATAATTACCAGTTTTGCTGTCATAGACCCGACACTCATGGCGTCGGTCGGCGCACCTTATGTTGGACACCACCAGCCAGTGGTTGTGACTGTCGTTGACTATCTGAACAAAGCCTTCGTTGTTGTCGATGGCATCGAAAGCGTTCAATTCGTTCAGTAAAACGTTTTGCAAACCTTTTACACCAGGAAATTGTTTCTGAAGCAAATGTTGGGCCACATTCATAATGGTATCGGTCAGCCATTCATTTGGTCTGACAATAACCTCTTTGTCGAACAGTGTCATCGTATAGTCGCCATGTTTTAGCCACTCTTCGTGCCAAACGGTCGATTGGCTGTCGTTGTCGTTGTTTTGATCATTTGTCGGACTGTTTGCGATCAGAAGCGCATCACCATCTGATTGATCGGTGCACTGGTCGTCACTTAGGACAACATCGATAGTCTTATCGATGCGCCGGCGCTTCACTATATTCATTAGCATTACCACCAAATTACCCAACTGTTCCTTAAAGCCCGTTGTTATAAAAATAAATAAATAAATAATTGCCAATAATTACAGTAAATTAGTTTTTGTATATATATATATAATTAATTCAAATATACAAAAAAAACATTTATCAAAACTATTGCTTAATCTTTAATTTGTAATAATTGTAATAAAGCTGTTAATTAGCTGCACGTTCTGACCATTCACGCGCGCCAATCAAAATATTTTCACGTAACTTTTTATTAATTGATTAATTTAGTAATAATACTAATAATAATAGTTTAAAAACTACTTTTTATTTTTTTCTGTGTTGGACATCAATTGAAAACTCACTGTTATAAACGGTTTTTTTAGTTTTAGGCGACCTATAAATTTCAAATAAAAAGGTCGAAAATTTGTTGGTTTAATATTATTTAAGCGTTTAATTAAATCAAATCAAACCACACAAAAAAACTAAAGTGAAAGTGACAGCACCTGAAGTTAATTAAACCAAACAAACCAAACAACAAACAAATGGAAATGCAATGGATAGTCGTGATAGGGTTGGTAGTGGTCATAGTGGTAGTCATTGTCCTATTTGGTGCCTGTTATTTGATGAAACAGAAATCAAAACGAAAATCCATTCCCAAGAAACCGTCGGTAGCGGCCAAATCGGCGACACCAAATTCAAAAATGTCGCCACTAAAGAAAAGCGATGACATACCGGAGCCGGGAAGTCTACGAGTGGGTTCCAATCCAGGTCTGGAAACTGGCGGCAAAGTTCCGACCCGTACGACCACCGAAGAGTTTGTCCCCGGAGACGGCAATGAGGCCGTCAAGAGTACGATTCCCGATCCCGTGTGACCACTATTTGGTGTTTTTTTTGTAATTTATGGAAAGGCATATATGATATAATAATATCAATGCAATAGTTATTGTACTGTATTTATGTTTTATTAGTATACAGAAAAAACAAACAAATATAGTAAAAATCCGTAATAATTATTTTTTAAACAAATGATATCTTATTATATCAAATCAATATATCTTATTATTTCTAAAATTAAATGTTAAAATTATATCTCAATTTTATAGTAATAAAAAAATACAAATAACAAAAACAATTAAACAATCAAAATATAATTAAACAAATAAAAAAACAAATTAAACGCCAAACGAATCAGTCGTTTAATTGTCACCACTGGAGGCCAACTCTAGTATCCGAGCAATAGATAATTCGCGAACCTCTTGAGCTGTCAAAACTACTCCGAACTCTCGTTCAATAGATAGTTGTATCTCTACCGCCATCAGTGAATCCATACCAAGTTTCAGCAATTTTGTGCTGGGATTCACTTTTTTGATGTCATCCATACCAAGAATGTGTGCCAACTTCTTCATAAAGTTTTCCTTTCCTCCGCCCGACTCCTGTCGTGATTCGCATTTAACGAAAGATAGGGTAACGGCTTTGTCCGACTGTAGCATTGCATCCAAATAATGCAAACATGAGGGCATACGTTGGGCTACTGTTCCCACAATTATAACATCGTCTCGTCCCGTATTTTTGACTACTATACCAACATCACCGATGACTCCCCATTGAATTGATAGACCACTATATCCATCGGCTTTTCGGACTTCGCAAATCCTGTCCATTATGGCGTTACTGAAACCATAATTGGTTTGACCGGCGTTACCACGCATTGTCACACCAGATGAAAATGAGACAAAATAATCTAAATCTGGACAATATTTTCGGGTAACGATATCTAAAATAATAAACTGATCCGACTTTGAACGACACACAGTCTTAAACATTTCTTCGGTTTGATTCTCGAATATAGCGTCGGCCAAAACAAGTGCCAAATGAAATATACCACCGATTGGACCAAAACTCGAAGCTATGTTCAACAGTTGTGTCGCCTCTTTAGGCGATGTTAGGTCCAGATCAGTGACAATATGAATCTCTGCGCCATATCTTTCGCGAAACTTTTTCAGTTTAGTTTTTTGATAGCCGTCTTGCGGTCCATTTCGGGATGTAATCAAAAACTTTTTGGCATCTCTTTCAATCATCCAATCAATCATTTCAAGACCAAATCCACCTAAACCTCCGCTTACTATATAAACTTTGTTGGGATTGAATACTGTCCGGGCGTTGGCTTTAATGTCTAACGGCTTCAACGACATGGACTGACCCTCGGACTCTTCGTCTCGGATTTTAATGACAACTTTTCCCATATGTTTTCCCGATGACATAAAACGGAACGCCTCTTCTGATTCGTCAACAGTGAATATACTTCTGTCCAGTGGCCGTACGGTTCCGTTTTTGATGCCTTCTTCTATCAGTTCCCAAATGAGTTTCCTATCATTTAGCAAACTTTTCGGTGTATTTTCATCGACAGTAAACAAGGCGTCCAAAAGAATTCCGTGAAACGACTTGTTTTTCAGCATTTCATTCATATCTATAAACAAAAAAATTGAATATTGTTTTTGTTTTTTTTTATTTTCATTTTATACCTAATCTTGTATTAACAGACATATCATATTTGCCAATCTCAAGGAACCGGCCGTTATCTGCCAAACACTCAATACTGGCTTTGAGTTTGTCTTCAGACAATGAGTTGAGTACCAAATCTACACCTTTACCTTTGGTTGCATTCATTACATGTGTTTTGAAACTCAAATCGCGAGACGAAGAAAAGTTGCTATCATTTAATTTTGGAAACAATTTCTTCAAATATTCACGTTTGGCCATTGATCCGACCGTAACAAACACTTGACAACCCATATTCAAGCATATATTAATGGCCGCCTGACCGACACCACCACTTCCCGAATGGATCAAAACTTTCTCCCCATTTTTCAGATGTCCTCTGATTATAAGCGAGTAGTAGGCGGTAGAGTAAACACAAGGAACAGTCGACGCCTCTTCCATTGACCAGTTGTCAGGTATAGGCCATAAAAAGTCGGGATCGTCGACAATACATGTTGTCGCCAATGCTTTCGACGGAATCATTCCCATCACTCGATTGCCATTTTCATCTCTTCCGGAAAACTCTAATCCAAGTATACAGTCCTGTAGTGCCATATCTCCGGGCAAAGCGTCGGGCGGTAGTCGACCTATAATTAGAGAAATTATTATAAATTAAATAATCTAATTATAGTTATTTATATATTATTATTAGTTATTATTGTAGTAATATCTAATGATCGTTACCCGTGGCCAACATAATATCTCTGAAATTGAGAGCCGAATAATAGACGCGACACATAATTTGGTTATCTTTGCGACCGATCGGCCAATTCTTATGTTGACATTCATACCATTTAAGACTCGAAAGATCTCCTTTAGTACTGGTATTCAGATAACAGTGATCTGTTAGTACACTCTTATATATGGATTGCATAACATTTGGTTTATAATATCCCCAATGATTGTCGCGATAGACATTGTAAACCAAATCTTTGCTCATTATATCAACCAATGTTTGTCTATCGTGGATCAGATCGCCTTTAAAAGTCCCATTAAAATTGAAAATACATCGAACTCTTTGACCATTAACTTCGCGCCTCAAACTACACACCAATCCGAGGATACCATTTTTGGAGGTGTCGTCAGCGATTAGCCACAAGTTTTCACCCTCCGGTTTATTGTGGATCAGTTTAATCTCATTTTTCAATGTGTCCAACCATTTGCTGTAATTATTCTCAATTCGGACAATAACTTGTTTATCAATATCCACTTTGTAAGCCATCTTTCTGAAGAGCATAGTATTGGCTCCAAACTCGTTGTAATTGCAACCGATGTATACAAAACTACACTTTTCTGCCTCAGATCTAATCGCTTTAGCGTTCATTGTGTGTGACTTCTGGTTAAGCAATGAACGGATCAGCTTTTCGCTGGAAGTAAAACCAGATCTGAAAACAATCTGAAAGAAACCGTTTGGTTTCAATGAATCCCAAATCGATTGACACAATTCGACTAAATTGATGCTATCGTTGTTGTCATTCTTATAGATAATACAATCCATATCTTTCATTGTTGTCGGAACTGTTGACTCATTTGTAGGCCATTCAATGCTTTTAGTTTCTGCCGGTGATCTCGAAACCAGACTATAAGTAAGTTTCACAAAGTAGTCGTGCGGTTCAACAATAGCTGTGACCTCCGATTGCATCGATCGGTAACTATCGTTGAGTTCCAAGACTTTGAGTTCATTTTGTTTTTTGTTGTCATAGACTGTGATTATCTGTCTATCGGTTAACCATTTATTATAAATCATTTTCAACATAAAGTCGTCCTCTAAATCATCAAAATTTCTCAACTCTTTGATTGCGTCGACATTGTATTCATTAAGTCGTTTTAATTCATGTAAAAATGAATACAAATACTTATCTTTTCGTTTTACTGGCAAAACCTGGTCATCAGTTTTACCGCTAATCACATTAGCATTTTTGCCGACACTTCGCAACAAATCAAACTTTTTGATCAAATTTTGTGCCATTTTCTCACAGCATTCGGCATAATCTTTGATCTGTTCCGCGTCATCGTAAGTGTCATAGTTTTCAATGAGTCCATCAAATCGTTCAAAACTATAGTCGCCAACAACTACTGAAGTTAAGCCAAGATTTCGTTGAATTATATTTGCCTTCATTCCTCTAAATTCAAGACCTTTGGTGACACCTATACGGGTGTCGTAGTCGTAGAAGGCTTCTAGACGTGGTGTATCACCGCCCAGTGTGGCCACATCTTGGAGTAACAGTTTCGGATCGAATCGTATCAAATCCAACTTTACGGGAATAAACAGACCTTTGGTATCGATGCCTACAATACTGATTTGAATCATATTGTCGGCAAAAACCACCCAATTATCTGTCCACTCGACCAATGCCTTGACTTTTCTGTCCTCAACAAACGCTTCCGAAACGCACTGAAAACTTGGTCCGTAATCATAGCCTCTGAGCCGAAGACCAGTATAGATGTCTCGTTTCTTGAGTACTAGATTTTCGTCTTTGCGGATGCGATAGGAATTCTCATCCAAATAGTACTGAAACTCGAGACCCGTCTTCAGGAACTGAATATTACCGGTGACCACAACCGCACCGTTTTCTGTGAGAACAAAGTCACCGTTTGTCGTGTCAATAGTTGTCAATAATTTGATTTCGCGATTCGGCTGAATAATGGTCGCCCTGTGAAAGATTACATCACGAAACTCGACGGGAACTTCAAAATATTCGGTATTATGATAGGCGGCGAAGTGTTTCCATATTAACAACAGATAACCGGTTCCAGGAAACAGGTTTCGGCCATCGATTACATGTCCCGCTATATACACATCATCTTTATCCTAATATATGACGGTATGAAATAATAAAATAAAAATATATATATATTCATTTGTTTGTCAGTTTTTTAAATAGTATACAAGTATATACACATTTATATTATACTATAAAATTAATTTTCAATATATAACTAACCATTAAATTAAATCTGGTTTCTCTTGTTTTGCTTGTCTGGGCTTTGCTGAAGTACTCTGGATAAGTGGTAACAATATAGTCTTTATCGTGAATCCATTTGATCATTGGCGATATAAACTTAGTGCCATTGGACACCGGGTACTTAACAGTTGGATACAGTTTCTCGATGGCCGGATTCAGGCCCAGCGTATAGAGTGTACCGATACTCGACAGCACTTGGTTTACATTGTTCTCGTTTTTTCTCATCATCGGTACGTAAGATATGTTTGGTCCCAACGAACGCTTTAAAATTGATTGTAACAGAGAGTGAGGAGCAATCTCGACAACTATGGCGTCTTTGGGTATCTGTTTGATGGCATCGTTAAATCGGATCGGATATAAAAGATTATCCACAAAGTGATGGGCTGTCAATGTCTTTGAATTGTTATTATAGTTGGCACTGATCCACTTTGTCGACATATTTCTTGTGTCAGGCATTACACTCTTGAGCTTTGCGGTCAACTCTTCACCGATAGCATAGGTCAGTGGCGAATGAAAAGCTACGCCACAGCTTTCGACATTAGCGGCAAAAATACCTTTTGATTTTAACAGTTTGACAAAATCGTCGATGGCTTTGGTCTCACCGGATACGGTCACTGAATCGTCGGAATTGTCGCAACCGATAAATACATTTTCCGGACACAAAGGTTTGGCGTCTTTGGCGCCCAAACCGACGGCTGCCATCCGGCCGTTGCAGACCTTGTTGTTGGCGAAGGATATGCCTCTCCAGTAGGCCATTACAATGGTCTCTTCGGCGGTCAAACATTTATCAGCGTAAGCACAGGTCAGTTCACCGATAGAGTGGCCAATGATGCCGTTCGGTTTGATTTCTAATTCTTCGAGTAAATCAATTAATGCTATTTGAACGGCAGCTATGGTTAGAAAAGAGTTCAGAACTGAATCGTTAATGTTTTGCTTATCATTCATCAATAGATCCCATAAGTCTACCGAATATTTCTTCATTATTGTACATAAATTGCGAATCGACTTATTGAAGATATCAATATCCACCAAACCTTTGGCCATTGCTGTCCATTGAGTTCCCATTCCCGACAATATGAACCAAACCTCTCGATTACTCTCTTTGATTTCATTTATCTCAAAATAATTCATTTCTTTCAACTTGTTTTCATCCATACTCTCAATCAGCGCAAATCCACGAGAAGTCATTCCTCCATAAGAAGTATTGGATGCCCTAAAAGGACACGTCTTAGAAATATTATTAATAAGAGCCAACAGATCTCTGGTTATCTTTTTTGGTTTTTCCAGAAGTTTGGTGAAGAAATAATTGACAGCTGATTCATCTCTTCCGCACATATTTACTAAACGAGGAATTTTGTCGACAACTTTGTTGTTATCGGCCGATGAATTGATTTTCGGACACTTGACAATGACATGAATGTTGGATCCGCCGAACCCGAAGTTGTTGAGCGCTACGTACTGTCCATAAAACGGTGTGTTTTTATTGATTGGCATTAATAGACCCATTTTTATGCCCTCGACTTTAGGATTTGGTGACTTAAAGTGAATGTTTGCGGGAATCAGTTCGTTCTCAAACGATATGATCGCTTTGGACACCGCACACAATCCCGACGAGGCTTCTGTGTGGCCAATGTTTGACTTATGGGCGCCAATCATAATCGGGTTTTTTCTGTTGCCTATAAATAAAGTTTATTTTTAAAGTTATTTTCAAATTAATAATTACTTTATACAAAAATAAATGTCAATTCAATTGAATTTTATACCGGAACACATAGACTCGCAAATGGCTCGCATTTCTTCGGGATCACCCGCTTGAGTGCCAGTACAATGGGCCTCTACATAGTCGACATCATGTGGATTGACACCGGCCTCCTCGTAGGTGCCTATCATCAGATCCCGTTGTGATTCCCACGTTGGAAATGTAATACCCATTTCCTCGTAGCCGTCGTTATTGGTCTTTGTGTGAACAACAGTACAGTAAATACGTTTGGCGTCCTTTCTTCTGCGCAAAACAACGACCACCACTGCCTCGCCTTTGGCGTAGCCGTTGGCCGATTCGTCCAGACATTTGCACCGACCGTCTGGTGATAACATGTTTAACTTAAAGAATTGATACTGCATTAGTGGATTGAGTCCCAAATTAATGCCGGCAACAATTGCACTGTCAATCCATCCGTGTCTCATATAATGCAAGGCTTCATTCAGTGCCGTAAAACTGGATGCACAGGCCGTGTCCACTGCCATTGACGGTCCCTTCAGATTGAATCGATAGGATACTTGTGAGGCTATACATTGTCTATAAGCAGGTATAGAGTGGATGCCGATCGTTGAATGGGCATTAAGTATTTCATCGAAACAGTTGCCAATGAAGACACCGGTATTGGTTCCGCTCAGACTCATTGGGTTTTCGCCTGTAATCATAAGTTTTTTTTAATGTATCTAAGTTTTAATGAAAGAAAAATTATTTATAAAATAAATTAACAATACCTGAGTCCCAAATGGCCTCATAGACGGTCTCTATTAGTAGTCTTAACTGTGCGTCCATAAAATTGGGTTGATTTGGTTCGCAATGAAAGAAATCGCTGTCAAATTTGCCCAAATCGTCCAGTTTTCCCATTCCCATGGGTGAGGCAAACAAATCTAACCGTCCATTACAAACACAATTATAGATAAGTATATGATAAGTCAATTATATTAGATTATAATAAAATTTTTATTAAAAAAATAGTTTTATTTTTTAAATATATTTTATTTCTATAAAACACAGACCTCTTCGCCACCGTTTCTCATCTTCGGTAACCATATCATCATTATTATAGAGTCTTCGGGCAAACTCTTCAATCGATGAACACTCTATCAAATATTAATCATTTATTTTTCAATCATTCATATAATTTTGATTATTTTTTAATAATTAAATAAATCAATTAAAAAATAAAATAAAATCAATAATAAATACCGGGATATTTGCCAGATATTCCTGTTATCACTATTTCGTCTTCTTCTTTGATATTTTTGAGTCTTTTAGTAACGGCATCGTTGGCTAACTTATAGTTTCTCATTGTTTATTATTTTTATAATTTATTATAAACTTTAAACTTAAAATTGTTAGAAATAAAATGCTGAACAAATTATTATTATAAACTATAGTTTTTTTTTATTGAAGTTGAAAAATAATACTAATGCCGATAAAACTTATTGTTTCATTTATTTTTATAATATTTTCGCTGACAATCTGAATATCATTGAGTTTATGGGGAAAATTGTCCGACAATTTTGTAATCTATTTATGATTTCTTCAAAATTGAAAACAATTATGTTTTGCAACTCAATATTTTCCTATCATTTATCTCACATTTTAATGGATTTATCACTCATTTTACTGTATATTATTTATGTTTTTAATTAAATAAGTAGTTTACTTCTTAAACCATTTTAACAGTAAAAATAACTTAATATTTGCATTTGACGTGTATTTTGCAAATTTTTTGTCTTAAATAAAATAAATAAGTATAGGATTTTAAATTAATATTTATTAAAACATTTTTATAAAAAAATCAAGTTTATTATTTATAATACTATATAAAAAAAATTAAGTGTTGTTTTAATTGTATATTAATAACATTATACTTCGTTTATAATACTGTATATTTAAAAAATTGATTATACAATATATGAGATTAATATTTTATGTATGCATTGTCAATATAGTTTATTTATTAAATTAAATAAATTAATAGAAAATATGATAAATGTATGAAAGTATATAATTAATATACTGTATATACCAATCAAGTCTAACATTATTGGAAATCTATATAGTATTGAAACAATACATTGAAATATGTATCGCTTATTTACTATACAAATATTTGTTAATTTATGACTCAAACAATGACTGAATTTATGACCAAACAGTGACCACTTTGCAGCCGACGCCGTAATTATGCTGTACTGTAATGTTAGACTTGATCGGTATATAATTGTTAATGTTATTGTAAATATTGCAATACTAATAATTACAATAATTTAAAAAAATAATTACATTGTATTAATTAAAAATATAATTTATGTATATATAAACTTATATATATATATAATATGGCATTTAAAGTCCATAACCTAAAAATTTTATCAAATACTGTAATTATATTTTTCACTTATTTATATATATAATAAAATTAAATGTAATCAATAGTTCTATTTTTTCAATATTATTTATATAAAAAATAAATCATATAAACTATTTATATATACTTTATATGATATAATATTTAATTGAAATTACAATATTAAGGTATTATTTGTTATTAGTTTGAAAAGCTTATTTAAATCAATTATATATTATTTCCTGTTTTATCCTTAAATTAAAAATAGAAAATATGTTATTTTAAGCAATAATTGTAAAATAACAATTTTGTGTCTTTTAATAAAATAAAATATTATTTCACAATAGTTTATTAAAATTGATTATAATAAAAATTGCAAAAAATAATACCATTAATTATATATCCTATAAACAAAATAAAAATTAATTGTTCATAAAATATACAATATGTATGTAATTATAGAAAAGAGTATTAAAAATGTGCGAATTAATAATAATATACATTATAAATATTATCAATAATAATATTATGTTATAAAAAATAATTAATACTTAATATATGATACACAGTGTATTACACACACAAACACTTTTTAAATATTTCAAGCATTTTAATTGCTATTATTGTCTCTAAATTTGTCATTAATTTATTACTTATTTATTTTTTTTAACGATAACAACACTGACATCAAAAAAGCCTTAAAGCGTTTTCTTAAGCTTTCCATTGCAGACACCATTGCCGATGCCATTAGCTGTATAACCATTACTATTATAATTGTTTTTAAAATTTGTATTTTGATTGATATCAGGCTTATTATAGTAACCATTGCTAACCAAATGTTTGCCTTTTTGCTGCTGTGGACTGGCTTTCAATATATAGGAACGGATAAAAAAGTTCATAAATAATAGGAAAAAAAGGAAATATAGCGAAAAGCCAAAGACAGCCACTTTTCGGGAGAGATCGCATGGAGTGCCCGATAGTTTATAGTGTAGGGCCAGGTAGTTGATGAACAGTCCGGCAAACATTTGGGCAATTTGTAATGAAGTAATGGTCACATTAACCACACGGGGTATCACAAAACGCATGGCCCGTAACGCGTAGTACGTGTACATCATTGAATGGATCAAGAAGTTCATGTTGACCATCCATCTGGCAGTTGATGGTACGTCGGCAAACACGTACCACGAATAGGTCAGTGTCAGTACGTGGTGTACCCAATGCAAGTGTATGAGCTTCTGCTTTCTCAATACAATGAATACCGTATCAAACAGTTCCAGGGCTTTCGATAGTGTAAAAAACAGGTACCAAATGTTGAGCCGAGCATCCTATCAATGGATCCAAACAAACAAACAATCAAAAAATCAATGATACGCCAATCAATTTATTTATATAATTTTTTTAGTCAAATAGTTATTATTAAATATATCATTGGGATATCACACACACATACATACAAAATATTTGATTCATTTTAGTTAATAGTTTTTTTCTTTTTTAAATAAAACATAACACTTAACATTGAAATTGAATGATTTCATCATACAATTCAACTTTATTTTATTTTTTATTTTAATGATAGTAGTAATAATATTGTAATAAAAACACTTAACATAAAATTGTGTAGACTTTTTTATGATATGCACAAAAAATATCTTTAAATAATAATAATAATAATAGTTAATTAACATTACTAAAAACAAGTATTTTTTACTTGAAAAGTTACTAAAATCTTTATAATAATTATAATTATTACTGTATTACTATTCAAAATTATTGAGATTCAATCACTAAAAAAATGCTTGTATGAGTAAAAATGTTTGAATAAATCAAATTAATAAAATAGTCATAAATAATTAATTAGTAAATCTAAAAGTTATTCCTAATGTCGTATTTTTGTCTAAAAAAAAAATTTAATTTATAAATTTTATATTTGCTTTGTTAAGTGTGAACCCGATAATTGGTTACTCGAAAAGTGTGATAAAATAATTCAATTAATTCAAACCGCAAGTTCAATAGTCTTCAAAATTTAGTAAACAAAAAAAATTGAACCACAAAAATTGTAAATTTATTATTATTATTATTATTATTTGGGTTCAAAATTTATTTATAATTTAATAACAAAAACCTTCGACTAATCTTTTAATTTATTTATTATGCCTTTCCTTTCACAACCAGTTTGAGGTCAATATCACAGAATTCACGCTAAGTTTACAACTTCTGGGATATCATTGAATTTAATTTTTTTTTTAAAAACCACTACTTATTTACAAATTAATTAATATATCATATTAATTATATACTTTTAATTATTTTAATAGCTTAGGCTATTAAATTAGTAGTAAATACAACTTAATTGTTAATTTCTTATTCAATAATTATCATAATAAATACACAGCAAATATTAATGCAATATTAATAATAATAAATGTACTGTTTAATCATAAATATATTTTAAATATAATTTATACAGTATATTAAAAAATTATTAGTTATTTAGTATTTTTAATAATTTTAATTAAATGAGTCTATTTGCAAAAATAAGTTTTAAAAATCAAGTTTTTTTCATAGGATAATGTCATAAAAATATAAAATACTGTATGAATATATAATTAAATTTATATTAATATACAGTATATATTCCGTATAAAATATTAAGTTTTTCACATAATTATTATCTCATTAATTCATAAAAATAGGTTTTTTGTCTTTTTTCTAAATGAATTTTCTTATAGCAATAATAATAATGATAATAAAATAAACGTAAAACACATTTAATTTATTATACTATGAAAAAAACTAACACAACTTTTAATATGAAATAAACTTTCATTTTATTAACAAATCTAATAAATTATTTAAATATAAGTGAAACATAGATTTAGAGAGAAAGAGAGAAAAAATAAATAATTAAAAATAATAATAATATTATTATTGGGAAATCATTTTAATTAAATTAATTGTATTATAAGACTAATATAAATTTAGAGTATAAGTTATTGTAGTGTTTAGTATTTGTTGTGTTCAAAAGTGAAATAATATATATATATATAATAAAAATAGCATAAATAGGACGTACCTCATAATAGGATGCATCACAAAACGATGCGGTCATCCCTTTTGTGTAAATGATGTGCAAAAACTCTGGCAAACATCGGATGACACCGCAGATGGAGAATATCGACAATAAGATGTTCCAAGCGCTCAGGTATTTGCGCAGATCGTAGCCCTTATCGCGGAACGACATGAAAAATTTGATGCCAAATATGACGATCACATAAGCTATGGACAGATATAAAGAGATATGCCAGTAGAGGTCAGACATCTTTTGTAGTTTAGTGCCCATTTTAATGATCACGTCCTCGATGGTCAAACTAAAGGGAAGGCCAGGAAATTGGTGCCAATCGTTTGACCATTTGATTTCGGGACTACGATAGTCGTTAATATAGTTATGATATCTAATGTCTGATAAACCATCAGTTCCCACGTCGATCACCATATTGTGCGTCAATTATATGATTTTATTTTTTAAAAATAATAATAATATAAAGTTATTGTCGTAGAGAAGTCTGAATCACCACAAGAATCTGTCTCTTAGGACTGTATGGTTGTGTCACTTGTATTATATGAGTCAACAAACAAAAATTGTTATATTATTGAAACAAGTGATGTCGACAGCACCTGACATTCAAACACTGTTTGATTCATAGGACGATTGATATAAAGTTTATGAGAGAGTGAGAAGTAGATCAACACTTGTAATAAACTGTTTGATTAACTATTTTTGGTACTAATTTGTAGGACAAACTTTATATTAAGACAAACTGTATAATAATATTAATAGTAGTATTAGTAGTAGTAGTTGTTGTTGTTATTTAGTAAAAATGCATTAAAAGTTTTCAATTACTTTCAATTCCTCCGATAACTTATATAGGTTTGACGGACACGCCTATAGCAGCCAACTTCTTGCCTCTCACGTGATGTATGCTGTGCTCCATATGCTGTATCTCAAGTAAACACAAGGAGGTGACGGTCGACGGATCCCTTTTCCTTTCAATACCTCTCTCTCTCTCTCTCTCTCTCTCTCTCTCTCTCTCTCTCTCTCTCTCTCTCTCTCTCTCTCTCTCTCTCTCTCTCTCTCTCTCTCTCTCTCTCTCTCTCTCTCTCTCTCTCTCTCTCTCTCTCTCTCTCTCTCTCTCTCTCTCTCTCTCTCTCTCTCTCTCTCTCTCTCTCTCTCTCTCTTAGTCATACAGAGAGAGAGAGAGAGAGAGAGAGAGAGAGAGAGAGAGAGAGAGAGAGAGAGAGATACTTTAAATACGACTATCCCAATAAAAAATGTGTTTTTTTAAACTTTTCAACAAAATTTATTTTTATCTTTATATTTACTGTATACAAACAACAAGTTTCTTTCAATACAAATATTTGCCTGCAGGACACACACACACACATACACATGCATACATGTGCTCAGGTATTATCGACGATAGTACATATGAATGCAAATTATAAATAAATAGTTTGTTGTCTTTGTCTGCACTTAATCCGTACTTTTATATTAATAATATTAAATATATACATAAATTAATAGTTTATTTAATGTACTAATGAAAAACAAATTTCAATCAAAAATTACAAAAATAAATTATTATTCAAAAAAAAATACAAGTGAAATATATATTGATTGACAATATCGACGCAATTACTTCAAGTAATTTTTTTCTTTAAATTTAATATTACATCTCATTTAAGATGCAATGGTTTTACATCCCAGAGCCTCTCATCAAAACGCTAGATATACTGTACATACAGTATATAATGACGTAAGCAATCAGTGATGTAATAATCACTTGAATAGTGATTGAAACTTTAAAAAACAATATGAAACTTAGGTTCGGACAGACCCAACAAAAATTAATAAATTAACTTTAGCTCCGGTATCGGGTTGTTTTGGTGTCGGCTGTTATACAACATCATTGCCATCACTTAAATGAGTCACACCTCTTTGCACTTAATTATTGCATATTTATCGATACACTTGTATTAATATTATATATTTTCAAAAAAAAAAGTTATTTTTACATAATTTTTAGATGTTTTTTTTTGTTTTTGAATATTTTTTTTGATTGCATTTTTAATGACAACGATTTTTTAAAAATAAAATATAAACTGTTAATGAATTTTTTGATGCAATTTATAAATTCTAATTTTTTTTTGTAACTAATTTATTTATATATTTATTTTTATACGTTATTAAAATAGTAAGAAAAAGTGTCACCTTCAAAGTGAAATACTATAAATTAATAAACTTTATAATTATAAACGTTTAAAAAACAAAATTATAGTTAGAATTTAATTATTATTAAAAAATGTATTATTATTAATAAATAAACATTATGTATATTTAGAAATTTTTTCCAAATATACAGATAATTTATATAAATATTACTAATTATTTTGTTTACATTGGATATTACTCTCTCTCTCTCTCTCTCTCTCTCTCTCTCTCTCTCTCTCTCTCTCTCTCTCTCTCTCTCTCTCTCTCTCTCTCTCTCTCTCTTAAGTTATTTATTTATTGACTTTATTTAAGGTTTTATAGAATAAAACTTTTAATCTTAATACTAAAAATATCAATAATAAAGTTTCTGGAAATTTATTAGTTAAAAATATCTCATATTAAAAGCCAATTTTATTGTCTGTATTAATCTCCTTTCAAATCACTACTAATAAACCAATTATTTGCGTCTACCTAAGCCCATAATAATAATAATAATAAGATTAATAAAAAATAATAAAAGTAAAAGCGATACAAGTTTTAGACACTTGAAAACTATTCAATATAATCAAAAAAATAATCGGTTAAACATTTTTTTTTTTTTTTTTTTGATGAAAACTATGATAATAAATTTATTTGAATAATGAAACTGATTTTCTTTTAGTATTTAAAAGTTTAATTGAGAGGTTTGCACCCAAATAATTTTGGCACCAATAGTATTAATATTATTAAACATTTTTTAATTTGTACGAATTTTAATTTTAATTAAAGTCTCAAGTGTTATGCACTTATTTTTATGAACTTAATATTATAAATAATAAAAAAATTTTAGTAAAAACAATTTTTATTAAATACTACTAATAAATAGTTTTGTACTAAAATAATTTACACAATATTCTAAATTAATTGGAAATATGATTAATTTTTTTTTCTAAAAATATTTTTTAAATAATAATTTATATTCAAGAAACTATAATCAAATTTTTAAAACTAAAATTTATGATTAGTATTTTTAAATATATAAGAAATATTTTATAAAAAAATTAACAAAAAAAATTTCGATGCAATGAATCATTTATTTATTTGAATAAACTTTATGTAAAAGTTTATACATTGTTTTTAAAATCATATGTATTGACAATATTTAGACATTATTTAAAAAACAGTTAACAAAATTAAATGTCATTTAGTGGTCATTTATGCGGCTTTGGCTGCTTTGGCGGCTTTGTATTGAGCATTGACGGCAAGACCGGCACCGCTACCATAGCTGGCGGTCTTAAGGGGCAGTGGCTGTGCAACAACTGGGATGGGTTGGGCCACACGTTGGACGACTCGCTCACCCTTGTGGACAACGGTATGGATCTCTTCAATGACTGGACGGATCTCTTGGGTGACTCGTCGGTAGGGTTGGATGATCTCACGGACCTCTTGGATGATGGGTTTAGTGATTTCGTTGACCACACGGTGTGGTTGGTCCTGGAATGACGAGTGTTCAGTTGATCCCTGGGATGGAGTGTGTGTCTGTTGGACTTGGACTGGGCTGGAGGACGATCGGAAGTTGATTTGGACGGGCATGTTGTCAGAATTGACTTCAATGATCTGGGGTTGGATGTAGTCTTGTTGGACGGGCACTTGTCTCAACTCAACGGTACGACGGGTATGGACGGCAGCCTCGACGGGTCCGGTGTATTGTTGGACTGGAGCGGCATAAGTCTGGACTGGAGCGGCATAGGTCTGGACTGGAGCGGCATAGGTCTGGGTGGGAGCGGAGTAGGTGTTGACTGGTGCCGGGGCGGCCATTGGCAGAGGTGCCGGTGCAGCGAATTTGGTGTTTTGCATACCATACTGAGCGTTGACCGAAAGGGCCAGAACAGCCAAAAGCATGAGTTTCATCATCTTTTAAGAGATGGTTTTTGAATGTCTTTTCCTGAAAACTTAAAGGAAATGATTTGCTAATGAATTCAATAATTCACAAACTGATGACTTTCTCATTGATTGTCTGACACTTTTATACCCAAAATTTTCGACTCAATTTTGGTCCTTTGATTGTCAATAATATCTTTGTGTTGTATTATTGTCTATACAATTGTGTATATTTAGATATCCATTAAGGGATTAAAACTACTATTTCCCAATTATTTGATTTTGGGGCCAAAAATTAGGTCAAACTTTCTCTCTCACTTATTCTCACTTACTGTCCCTYTCTCTCTCTCTCTCTCTCTCTCTCTCTCTCTCTCTCTCTCTCTCTTTCTCTCTCATATGTGTGTCTCACTATCGGACACTACCAGTCGTCCCTCACTCTCCCACACTTGTAGTCCAATTGTCTACATTTATCTTATAATTAAAGCAAATATTTCTCTTAATTTAACTCTACACTAAATGCACTATAAATATATATAGATATATATATATATTACAATTTAGTAATAATTTTAAACAATTTCGTAACTCAATCAATACAATACTAGAATTAATACTTGTATTTATATAAACTTTATTGTTTGACTTTTGTTCCTAAAATTAGCATTAAATAAATTATCAGATATTATCAATAAATGTTAGTTACTATGTTAAATATACTGTAAATTTTAATAATTTTAAAGTTTTATTGAAATTAACATATTTAATGTATAGCTGTTTTATAAATAACATGTTATATTATAGGAATTGTAGTTTAATAGTTTAAATTATTATAATATAATTAAATTTTATGATAAACTCTAAATTGTCATAAATTGTTTTTATCCAATAATAACTAAACAATTTAATTTCTAATAATATAATTATTAAAATACATGTTAACGCATACCAACAAAATGACAACTTACATATTGCTTATAAAATATTTTTTTTTAAACCCATAATTATTTGTTAAATAATTAAATCTTGATAAACAACTTGTGAGACTATCACTACTGTTGTTATTGATTATCATTTGAGATAAAAATTTTAAACAAAAAAGTATTTTAATAATAATCTCTCTCTCTCTCTCTCTCTCTCTCTCTCTCTCTCTCTCTCTCTCTCTCTCTATCTATCTATCTATCTATCTATCTATCTATCTATCTATCTATCTCTTCTCTCTTTTACACACACACACACATAGAGAGAGAGAGAGAGAGAGAGAGAGAGAGAGAGAGATTTAATAAAAAAAATTATGTGATTTCTCGCATTTTACAAACTATTTTCAATGTCATTCATTGTATTTTTGACAACATTTTCACTTCAATTGCATTTTGATTACCGATACATAAAAAACTACTGTATATAGTATTATAATTTTCAATAGTATTACAATTAATATTTTTACTGCTTTTTGTTTAAATTGATATTGACAATTACAAAAATATACTGTATATAAATAACTTATTATAATAATACAGTATTTATACATAAAAATAAAATCTTTTCAAAAAAATCTTATAAATATGTTATTAAAAAAATCAAATTTTATTACCGATTAAAATATAAAATGGAAAAATTCTTTAAATAAAATTTAAAATTATAAATAAGTTGTTTTTTATTTTTTTTGTTTACCTGAACATTTTTGTGTTATAAATATTTTTTAACTTTAATATTATATGTGTATATATTAAACAATATTCAACAAACAACATAATTATAATTATTAACAATATTCTCATATTATCTTTTTAATAATATAATTATAATTTATAAAATTATTTTTATGTTATTGATAGACTAAAATTATAGTTTCTTATTATTTAAGAGATGCTATCAATCATATGATTAAATCGGATGACATTATAATATACATTATAAACGGTGTATAATATGTATAATAGTTTTGGTGACCGGAATGACTATGTATTGTAAATGATATATCATTTATTATTTTATGTGACATTTATTATAGATTTTATTTTTTTTATATGACATTGAAATTATTTTTCGAAATATTTTAAAACACATATGAAATTATCTGTCATTATAAAAATATTATTATTAAGTTAAAAGTTTTATATTATTGTTTTATATTATCATATCTATAATTATTACTACAAAAGTTTATTTAAATAATAACATTAAAATTGAAAATTTTGCTTTCAAAAAAATATATTTATGTGAAATTATGTAATATTATATAAAAATATTTTTAATTGTCTAAATTGATTTATGCTTTGTTTAATCATAATTTGTTAAAAAAAAATTATGTAAATATTAATTTTGAGCAAATATTATTTTTTTTCTAAGTATAAAATATCGTTTTGTAAATACAAAATAAAAACACTTTGTTTTTAAAATTAAATAATAAACTATTAAATTCAGTTATATAATATTGTTAGATAATATTTTTGTTTCCTATAAAAATTTCCTTGACTATTTAGAAAACTATAAATTATTTTTTGAAAAAATACATAAAATAATCGTTAGTCATAATTTATTATTTTTAAAATTGTTTATCATCTAATACTGTAGTTTTCTAAAGTAATAATAATAATTATTATTATTATAGCATTTTTGATGATAATATTTTCTAAAAATTTTTATTTAAAATAAAATATTTTCCATTAAAAAACAAATAACCAAGATAAATTATTGTAATATAACTTATTTTTTTAAAAGCATTATTTAGATAATAAATATATCAACAAAACATATTATTTATGTCTTATTTATAAAAACTCAAATATTTTGTTAAAATAGTAAATTGATAACAAAAATTTTGCTAAAGAAAAAAAAACATATTTTCTAACAATTTTTATAATATGTTGTTCTATATATTAAGCAATCAATATATAATAGTTTATGTGTTTAACTAAATTAATAAAAATAAAAACAAAACAAAAACTATTTAATGTCAATCAATCAAATTCACGGCAAATCATTGGAAAACACAAATAATAACAATGTTTAATATATTTAACAAAATCAACATTTAATTCATATATTATATAGTATTTATTTATATGCTTATCATCTATGTTTATCAAAAAACAATGTAATATTAAATATCTTTTATTATATAAAATTTTTATTTAATTAACAAAAATTGAAAGGTTTTTGCTAGTTTTTATTTTTATATGCTTTTCAATGTTATGTTTATTTATTACTATTAAAATAAACTTAAAACTACAATATTTTGTTTTTATTTAAATTATAACAACTAAAAAAAAATATTTAAATGCAAAATTATCATTGCAATTTGTTGCAAATATTTTTATATCAACTTTAATAACATTGCTAATAATGTGAAAAAAAATAATTTAAAAATTTAAATACAAAAAATACTTGTTTTTAATATAAATTTATTCAAATATAAATAAAAACATTTGATTAATAGCAAAATTATTTAATAAATATTGTTTTCTTAAAACAATTTTGCAATTAACATTTTTTAGACAACTAATAGCAAAAATTGCATATTTAAACAATAATAATAATACACTTCATATATATAAGTACTTTTGATTTTAATAATTTTGATGATATTTTTAGACAAATAAGAAAATTGTAATTTTTTTAAAAACTTAAAATATTTAACTCATGTTATGTTACTCTAAAATTAATTAAACTATAGTATCACTATTTCATAAATGTAAATTGTATAACATATTATTTAAAAAATTTATTTGATTTTATTATTTGATTAGATTGCGATCGTTAAGTATAATTAAGTATTATTTTATTTATAAATGAAATAAATTTTTTATTTCAAAATTACTAACTTTAGTAAATAACTAATAAAATCAAATATTTTTATTTTATTCAGTTGATAGTCTGATTGATTTTACAACAAGTGATGTATTTTACAATGTTTAATAGAAATATTTTTTGTCAATAATTTTTTAGTTTATATTACTGGATAAAATAATCCCATTATATTTTTAAAAAAAATCAATTTAATAAATCCAATCTACTAGATTATGATAACTAAAAATTCAATTTAATATGGCAAAATATTTTATTAGATTAAATTAGATTTGACATTCAAACACACACACACACACACACACACACACACACACACACACACACACACACACACACACATACCACTACTAAATAAGCCTAATCTAATCAATACAGTACAACAAATCTAACTGAAACCGATTTTAGGTGGTTCCCACTAGTATTTACAATATTATAAATTATAAATATACTGTCTGCCTAAAAATATATTATATATGTGTGTCAATTTAGATTAACCAATAGACAGATAATTAGGATAGGTAAAATATAATAATAATAATAAACATAATGCTAAATAATAATAATAATCATCAATATTATTATTATTTAGCATTAAGTTTATTTACTTAAATATATCATCACATAATTATACTTGAATTTAATAGTATTAATTTAATGCAATATATACTGCAAATATAATTTTAATAATTTATATTGATCTTAAATTTTAATACTGTATAAATACAGTGTATATAATTTTATTTTTTTTGTTGATTATTATATTATTTAATATAATTGTTTATTTTTTTTGTTTCGCATCAATTCCTAATAATAATAATAATAATATAGCAAAACAGTATTTATATATATTTACAAAACAATTATTTTCACTATTAAAAAATAACAATTATAGTGATAGTATCTGTTTATCCCATCTATAAAGTAAACCATATAATATTATATTGTATATTATTTAAATATTGACAATAATTATAGTCCAATATTGGTGCCACAAATCTAGATATATCTGTACTACCGATAGTAGACTAACTATTATTGTATTTTCTTATTATTATTAATACATTATTTACTATGAAACCCCCCCCCCCCTCCACTAAAATTGTATGGTATATTATAGTGCTATCCAAACCTTGAACTAACTTTCACTGTTACGGCTCCGGGCTATTAGAGTGCCTGACCTTAAACATAACCTTATTTTAAAACGAAACTATTTAATATAAATT